TAAAAGATAGATAGCGATCCGTCATCTTCAGCATTGAAGCCATTATAAATCGTTCAGTCCATGGGATAGTTTTGTATCACCACACGATAATCTTCTATCTCAGGTTAGTGCCACTAAAGAACTTCTTCTCTGAGTGGTCAATCTCATGAAATAACCGTTTCCAGCACCACAACTTAGAACTGGCCATAGATTTTAAGAGACAAAACAAGGAAAATAAAAAACAACAATCACAAACAAGATTAAAATCACTTCAGCAGAACCAGACCCCTGTTAACTCTGTTGTGTATGAATGGAAATACATACTTAAAAAAAAACATATTCTATGTAGCGTGCGCAGCAGAGAAATGCACACATGAATAGCTTACTTGCACCATCTAGGACTGGGTTCTTAGCACTGCAGAATGACAAAACAAACATCTTTGGATTGAGCACATCTTAAAAAGATTTCTCACAAAGCTTCACAGAAAATGTTACAAAATAAAGGCAAAATCAACATAAAATCATGTACTGTGCCTTGCAAAAGTATTCATCCCCTTGGCTTTTTCCTGTTTTGTTGCATTACAACCTGTAATTTTAAATTGATTTTTATTTGGATTTCATGTAATGGACATACACAAAATAGTCCAAATTGGTGAAGTGAAATGAAAAAAATAACTTGTTTCAAAAAATTATAAAAAATAAATAACGGAAAAGTGGTGCGTGCATATGTATTCACCCCCTTTGCTATGAAGCCCCTAAATAAGATCTGGTGCAACCAATTCCCTTCAGAAGTCACATAATTAGTCCACCTGTGTGCAATCTAAGTGTCACATGATCTCAGTATATATACACCTGTTCTGAAAGGCCCCAGAGTCTGCAACACCACTAAGCAAGGGGCACCACCAAGCAAGCGGCACCATGAAGACCAAGGAGCTCTCCAAACAGGTCAGGGACAAAGTTGTGGAGAAGTACAGATCAGGGTTGGGTTATAAACAAATATCAGAAACTTTGAACATCCCACGGAGCACCATTAAATCCATTATTCAAAAATGGAAAGAATATGGCACCACAACAAACCTGCCAAGAGAGGGCCGCCCACCAAAACTCACGGACCAGGCAAGGAGGGCATTAATCAGAGAGGCAACAAAGAGAACAAAGATAACCCTGAAGGAGCTGCAAAGCTCCACAGCGGAGATTGGAGTATCTGTCCATAGGACCACTTTAAGCCGTACACTTCACAGAGCTGGGCTTTACGGAAGAGTGGCCAGAAAAAAGCCATTGCTTAAATATTCACCAAAAGGCATGTGGGAGACTCCCCAAACATATGGAAGAAGGTACTCTGGTCAGATGAGACTAAAATTGAGCTTTTTGGCCATCAAGGAAAACGCTATGTCTGGCGCAAACCCATCACCCCGAGATCACCATCCCCACAGTGAAGCATGGTGGTGACAGCATCATGCTGTGGGGATGTTTTTCATCGGCAGGGACTGGGAAACTGGTCAGAATTGAAGGAATGATGGATGGCGCTAAATACAGGGAAATTCTTGAGGGAAACCTGTTTCAGTCTTCCAGAGATTTGAGACTGGGACGGAGGTTCACCTTCCAGCAGGACAATGACCCTAAGCATACTGCTAAAGCAACACTCAAGTGGTTTAAGGGGAAACATTTAAATGTCTTGGAATGGCCTAGTCAAAGCCCAGACCTCAATCCAATTGAGAATCTGTGGTATGACTTAAAGATTGCTGTACACCAGCAGAACCCATCCAACTTGAAGAAGCTGGAGCAGTTTTGCCTTGAAGAATGGGCAAAAATCCCAGTGGCTAGATGTGCCAAGCTTATAGAGACATACCCCAAGAGACTTGCAGCTGTAATTGATGAAAAAGGTGGCTCTATAAAGTATTGACTTTGGGGGGGTGAATAGTTATGCACGCTCAAGTTTTTTTCTTATTTCTTGTTTGTTTCACAATAAAACATATTTTGCATCTTCAAAGTGATTGGCATGTTGTGTAAGTCAAATGATACAAACCCCCAAAAAATCATTTTTAATTCCAGGTTGTAAGGCAACAAAATAGGAAAAATGCCAAGGGGGGTGAATACTTTCGCAAGCCACTGTAAAATGTCCCCAAATAACCTTCAAGGACCAGACAGAGGGAGGGAATCCAAATCACCATCTAGTGTAGCCAGACAGCCTCCCTAAATATGAGCTGACTTCAAAAAGCAAAGCCACAAATAGAACCAACCGCAGTGATCAAGACCGTAACTCAAAAACCTACATACAGTAAAACTGACCACCACAACCCAGTATCTCTGCCCAATGGAAGGGAAGAAAACCAGAAAAGCAGTTTTGATATTGCAATGGCTTTAGGTGGTCTATAATAGCCTATCTGTGAGCACATAGTTGCTGTTAAGTAGCCTAGCCAATAACAGAGTATGGAATTATAAGGAATGGAACTAGAGCCATTGGACTCATAGGGCCCTATCTAAAAATATCAATCCACACACTGGTATGAAACATGGACCCCCCTAAGCCTAACACAATCACGTCACCTCTTTTAGGCATCGTGTGTGTTTGTTTGCTCTTTTGAATTAAACATCTATTGATAGAAAATGACAGGATCACACAAGCACCTCTAAATCTACGCAAATGTCTTTGAAAATGAGAAATGTATGATTTATAGATCACAAATTTAAAAAAGTGCTTTCTGAAAGAACAAAAGTGGCAGTTGTAGCTTTCTGAGAGAAACTGAACCTGAACCAAAGTATTTCAGTATTGATCAAAGAAAGACCCCCTTCCTTTTCGCCCATGGTTGAAGTATTGAAAATAAAAGTTGTTTGACCTATGATAGAATAAGAAAATTATACTTTAAATATCAAGCCTTACAATCTCTGCAAAAACAGTATGTGACCTACAAAAGCATATATATATATAATACATTTGAAGCATATTTACAATTTGTATTCACAGACAAAAGCAAAAATTCCAAACGAGACGAGTCACATCCTAATACTGCAGTACCATCGCTTTGAGTAAATGGTCCTTCACTTTGCCCTCACAGGAGAACCAAGAGGAAGGATTATTGCTAGAAATCTGCATAAACATACACTAAAATCGGGGGAAACACTTTCTTTCACAGTGTGTGGATTAATTTAGGAATCAACTCATTCAATAACTGGCAACAAATTGCTATTAAGTGTTCCATGAGGTAACCAAGACGTAAATCTTACAAATTCCTCCTAAAAAATACAATATACACATTCGTTTTTAAAATGCTCATTTACATTTATGAATAGTTGTATAAATATGAGGGTAACTGTGCACTCTGAAATAGGTCAGTACATTTTAAGGATCTGCTTTAATAATCGGAACCTTTTTCATCCACTAACTTCCCCATAATCAACACACTGCAGAAGAAAGTGTTCTATAAAATCTGTGCTTACTGCCTTTCCATTTGTTAACCATTTAGAATAATGATCGTCACAGTAATCCATTTCCAATCAAAATAATCCCCATCCTTTGACAAACACAAAAACAAAACAAAAACTTAAGATTTGCTGTTCTGCATTAATTATTGGCCAATAAATATTGCCACAATCCTTTTGAGGACAGCCTTTCTGTAAAGTGCAACCACAGCCAACTAGTATTTATTTCTGTCGTACCTTAACCCAGTCTCCTGCAGGACCACTGTGTATGGATGCTGACTCTTAATTACTTACTTCTGAGTTGACTACATGCCATTGACTACATGCCTGCTCATCAGTACAGTAATATACCTTATAGAGGTAGAAGTTGCTCCTAACCACAGATCTAGGATCAGGGTTCCCTAATCTTAACCATTAGGGCGATGTGAAAATAGCTGACCATGTATCTATCAGTGATTACAATCAACTCCCACCTTCTCCAGCAATGGACTATATATGTCATTCATTAAGTGTGGATTCTGAGACTGGATGGGATGCGTGGTCTGCATACACAGTGGTCCTCCAGGACCAGAACTAGGAAACACTGTCTTCTCCCATAGCGTTCCGAAGCAGAGAGAGAATTCCCACGGCCAGGGGTGAACACGGCATGATGGTAGTCACATCCCACGAGATAGAGGATGTCTTCTAATGGCTATCCGTCAGTTTGTGTCTGTGTGTCACAATGTCTCTTTAGATACATGGATGTTTTGGGGTGTGTGCATTGGTGTGTCATAGTGTGTCTCATGTACAGTAAGTGAGAGTAGAATAGTGTATTCTCTGTCTGTTTTCCTCCAGCTGTGAGACTGCCGACACTGGCCTCGAGTCCAGAGGAGCAGCAGCCCCAACTGGTGGGAGTAGAGTGCTACACAGACACACACACACACACACACAGACAAACACACAGACACAATACACACACAGAGCACTGCACTCATCTCTCTGAAAGGATCACAGTGAGTCTGTTTCTGTTCCACCACACGCCTCTGTCTCAGGTTCAGCAATATTTCTGTAAGGAAGAGAGGTAATGGGGTTAGTTGTGCAGACATCGTGTGTGTGTGTGCGTGCGTACATAAATATTGATAACACTCATGCTTACTGTACGTGCCAGCCAGGTTACCCTTGATACAAGTCAGTATTCGACGTCCATCCATGTCTGAGGACGTCAGGAGTTGACATGGAAACCGGCCACTAGGGGCAACAATGAGCGCTGTTACCTTCAAGTAGGTTTCAGTTGTGGACGGGGATGGTGGATTGGCATTAGCATCTGCCTCTGATTCCCAAGGTTGCAGGTTCTAATCCAGCTATAGAAAGTTGTTTTTGATATTTTTGATTTAAGCCTATCCCAAACCTTAACCCTTACCTTAACCATTCAGAGTTAATGCCTGAACTTAACCTTAAACACTTCTAAATTTGACTTTTGGAACAACTTTGAAATTTGACGTTTGAGAAACATGGATGAACGTCTAATTCTGATGTGAGACAGAGCTGGTAGGTACGTGCACGCACACACACACACCCCATCTACAACAGCGGTGTACCTGATCAGGCCCCATTGGCATACGTCCCATCACCATGGGGTTCATCCCCATCTGCCCCCCCATCTGGCCCATATGGCCCCCCCCTCCGTTGGAAGGCATGCCCCCGTTCATCATCATGCCCCCGTACTGTCCTGGGTTGCCCTGCTGGGCAAACTGCTGCTGCCCCGGGTTGCCCTGTTGGGAAAACTGCTGCTGGGGGTACGAGCTGGAGAGACAGGGAGGGAAGGAGGTGGGTTAGTTGGTTACGAATGTTGTCACTGGTTGTTGTAGGTTATTTCTCTCTCCCTCCCTGTTACACACACACCTGTTGCGGGCCATGCCTCCCTGCGACCAGCCCTTCATGTCTGCGCTCTGGTACATGGGTCCACCCTGGGGATGCGGTTGCATCATAGGATTCTGAGGACCCAGGCGGCCTGACATCATGGCGTTGGGGGGGCTGCTGCCCGCAGGGCCGAACGACGGGTCACCCTGCTGAGCCATACCTGAAGGAACATATTACATGAGCAATGGCATGTGAACGCACGCACCCACACACTTAAGTGATAATGCCCGAGAAGCCGGTGTTTGGAGGATATATTGGCACAAGTGTTGTTGAGCACCGTCCCAATATATCCTCCAAACACCGGCTTTGAGGACATTATCACTTTTATTCAACGGGTTACCAACATATTCAAATAATGATTAACATATTTTCATTAAAAACTTTTTATGAAAAATGTATTTGTTCTATTGGTTCGGTTGCCAGAGATGCAACCTAGTCGTTCAGTTTTTTGTTCTGCAACCCAGTCGTTCCTTCTAAATGTTCCATTGCCATACTGGCTGGCAACGTTCTTATCCCTTGCTTGCTAGCTAGCCAACTACGGCTAACTTACAGTCACGTCAAACAGTGCAGCCAGAATAACAACAGTAGCTGCATTTGCATTTGTTTAAGCTGTTTTCTAGTGACATTTATTTGTATATATCCATAAAATTAATGCCAGCTGATTCATGATTTTGACTGGCTGAGAAACGCTGCCTGCCTGTCTGTCTCGTCCCGACATGTTTATTACTATGGGACAGCTGGAGATTGAATTTGAATATTGAAACAATGTTGCAAATGTCGGAGAGACAGACATCAAGGTTTATACAAATCTCCGCTGTTGAAAACTAAATGCTAGTCTAAAATAATCTAGATGCTTTTTATAGTGGAGATCAGGTTTATAAATTGTCTGGGTTTGCTGATGAGATAGTGGATTGCGCAGTCAGATGGAACAGAGTAAATAGGCATTTTAACGTCATAGATTTAGCCGGTGGTATCTTGTGGAATAGACACCGGCTGGAATGCGGTTTTAACCAATCAGCATTCAGGATTAGACCCACCCTTGTTTAACACACACACACTTTCCATGTCCCATTGCAAGTACAAAACTCACCACTAGGGAGCAGAAACACTGTGGCCCTTCAGGTCAAACCAACCCAAACTCACCGTAGTTTCCCCCGTAGCCAAACTGCTGGGGGCCCAGGTTGGGGCCTCCCATAGGGGTGTCCATGCCGACGGGGGCGGTGACGTTGGGAGGGGGGCTGAACCCCCCTGCGGCGGCTGCTGCTGCTGCTGCCTGCTGCTGTTGCTGCTGCATTAGCATCATCATCCTCTGTCTCCTCATCTGCATGGTCACCATCTCCCTGCTACGCTGGGCCATCATCTGGGCATTCAGGAAGCCAGGCTGGGGACAGAGAAGGGGTATAGTGAGTGTGTGTATTTAGAGTTTTGGCTGTGTGTAATGTACAACAAGGAAAGGTTAGGCCTAAGTGGCTCCCATATGCTAGGTTGTGTGTGTGTGTGTGTGTGTGTGTGGAGGAAAGGGGAGTGCCTACCTGTCCCCCCATGCCAGGCTGCATACCCGGCCTCATGCCAGGGTTGCCCGCTCCAGGGTTCTCCATCTTCATGGCCATCCCCTGCCGAGTCTGACTCATAAACTGAGGGAGGAAAGAAGAAGCTGTCAGCATAAAGTCCTGTGTGAGTTTATTGGTCTGTGTGTGTGTGTCTCCTACCTGTTGGCCCTGTAGTCTCTGCGCCAGTTGGAGCCTCATGGGTTTGGTGGCACTCATCATCCTGGGTCTCATCATGTTAGCACGGGGGTGACCCATACCCCCCATGCCTCCCATCCCTGGGAATCTGCCCCCTTGGCCCATCTGGGAGAGCATGGGGCCGAAGCCCCCTTGTTGGGGCTGGCCCTGCATAGGGCTCCCCCCGTAGGCTGACTGCATGGCCATTGAGGGGGGTCCGGGGTACCCCTGGCCGTACAGAGGCTTCTGCTCCAGCACTATGGAGGGATCCTGGCCGGGGAAGGGCTCACCATGCTGCTCTGGCCCCTGGCCCTGGCTGACCAAGTCGGGGATGCCCAGGGCCCGGTCGATCTCCTCCAGTGCGATGCCATCCGTGTTGTTGAGCAGAGAGTCCAGCTGGTCCAGCAGCGCCCGCTCGTCACTCTGGCCCTCGCTGGTGGTGGGCGGAGCCAGGAGCTCATCCAGGGCATTCCCAAACTGACGCCTGAAACACGCACAGAGAACCGTTAATTGTATGACATGATAGCATTGGCTGCCAATTGTCCTGGTATAAATCATATTTTATAAAAAATATTATTTAGATATAAGAGCAGGGGTCAGTGTATTTTAATGGAAGGCAAGAGGGTTAGTTTACCTGCTGTGGTTTCCCTCCATACCCATCACACTGTCAGACCAGGACGGAGACTGGTTAGGCTGGCCCTGTTGACTGAACGGACTCATCCCCATCCCCACCTCACCAGAACCTCCTGCACACATACAACACAAAACAAATATTAACCAGAGACTATATATCTCAGAATCAATTACTACAGATTACATACACATATAGACACATGCATACAAACAGACACATGCAAGACATCCCAGAGATTACATCCGCCATCTTCATTTTTTGGACTAACGCACAACCACACACACAGACACGTACCCATGTCCATTAGCTGTTGCTGCAGCATTGATCTGGTGCCAGGAACACTGTTGGACCTGCCCACCATGGGCCCTCCCATCATGCCTTTGGAGTTGTAGTCCATGCCAGGACGGCTCATGGAGGGGTGACCGGCTGAGCCCACGGGGCTGGCGCAGGAGCGAGGCATCCCCCAATCCCCTGACCCCCCCATGGGAGAGCGCTGGGGAACCCCCATGCCCCTGTTCATCGGCCCTGGGGGACACAAAACACACACAGATTAGCTCTTTTTAAAAAGCAGCAATGACATAGACTGAAACCCAGACCTAGATAGTAGGGGAAAGAGCAAGACAGAGGAAAGACAGATGTCAGAGCATGAAAGAAAGTGAAATAACTAAATGAGTTACTTGTTCCAACGCCTCGCGGACACACACCCATGTTCCCTGGGTATCCGTCTGTGCTGCCCATCATGTTCTCCTGTTTGATGAGCATGGGGCGCCTCCCTGCCGCTCCAGGACCCCCAGGAGGCTTGGCGTCTGCTGACATGGCCCTCTGGAAGGGCCCACGTGGGCCAGGGGCCATCCCCGGACTCCCTGAACACACACACAGAGGGACACAACAGATAGAGAAGGTACATGTTAGTCTGGTGTCCAGATTCTCTGAGGTTACTTTGCGGCTAGGGCTAAAACGTTTTTCATCAACACGCTCAATGTGACAGGTCCTACCTTGCAGGTTCTCATCGAGGCAACCCTGGGCCTTGTTCCCTCCTCCTCCCTGCTCGGGGTAGAACTCAGAGCCAGAACCCCTCAAACCTCCCAGGATGGACTCCAGGTTGTCCAACTGGGAAGAGATAGATACACATGTATCAGCAACAACACAGTATCACACAACCTACAGAGGTTAAGCACTTCATAGTAATGAAACTGTTCACAGTGAAGGCCAATGGGCAACGTATGTCAGTAGGTATACTCATGTAATTGTAATAATCTACCAGTAATGTAATGATCTGACCACCACACTGTGTGGTTACCTCATCAGGCGGCTCTGACTTGATCTTGTTCTCTGTGTGTTCAGTTGTGTGGCTGGGTCCAGCGCCAGGTCCTCTGGGTGGGAGGCCGGCAGTGGCTCCTGGGGGCCCCTTTCCCTCCAGCTCCTCAGGCTTGGGCTTCACATCCACTGGCTCTTTAGTGTCATCCTTGTTGAGGAGGTAGTGGAGGAGCGCGTGGGTCTTCTCCTTCTTGGGGCTGTGCTGCTCCTGCTTGGGCTCTGTCACTCCTCCTGCTCCTCCAGCCCCCACCTCCCGTGGGACCTCCTGGCCCCCCAGGGTCACCTTCCCAGTGGCCTCGGCCGTGATCTTGGCCACCTCGTCGGGCGTGTTGCTGTTCTGTAGCAGCTTGTGGAGGATCTTGTGCTTCTCCTGCAGTGACGCCGTGTAGTGGGCAGAGGCCAGAGCATTGGCCAGAGCCGCGCCCGACGCCTGGCCCTGACTGGTGGAGGCTGAGGAAGAGGAGGAGACTGCAGTAGAGGAAGGGCTGGCCATGCCTCCTGTGGGGTCCTTAATGTCGGACCCTGCTGGGGTGTTGCTGCTGCCTGGTGGGGGAGGTATAGAGGGCAAGGCGGGGCCAGTTCCCCCTAACCCCAGCTCCTCAGTGGGGGAGGTCAGCAGCTGCAGCAGCTTCTTATGGCCCTTACTGTCTGGGACTCTCCGGGTGGGTTCTAAGCTGGCCACCCCGGCCTCGCTGGCCCCCTCTCTGGGCTCCTTGCTGCCTGCCATGGCCTGGCTGTCCAACCTGTCTCCGGAGCTCTCGGACTGGGGGTGTGGGTGGTGGTGTTGGTGGAGTGGGTGGTGGTGCACGCCGGGCGCAGGACCCAGGCCTCCTGTTGGACTTTTGGAGCCGTCCGGGCCTGATTTGGCCGGCTGACTGGGCTGAGAGGACTGAGAGGAGGAATGTACGCTGGGGGAGCTGTCTGGTTTGTTGGTCGGGGAGGGGGAGGTGAGGGTGGAGGGGAGGGAGCTCCCGACCCCCTCGCTGATGGCCTGCAGGGCGTTGAGGGAGCTGCTGGAGAAAGAGGTGCTACCTCCTCCCCCACCTCCTCCTCCTCCATGAGGGCCCATGGGGGAGTGCATGCCTGGGACAGAAACAAAACCCACTGTCAGAAACTGTACTACAACTTTTACAAACAAAAAACATTAAACATTTTTCAAAAACCTAAGATTGATCATCTTGTGTTTTATGAAGCACACAGTCGTGGTCAAAAGTTTTGAGAATGACACAAATATTGGTCTTCACAAAGTTTGCTGCTTCAGTGTTATGAGATATTTTTGTCAGATGTTACTATGGTATACTGAAGTATAATTACAAGCATTCCATAAGTGTCAAAGGCTTTTATTGACAATTACATTACGTTTATGCAAAGAGTCAATATTTGCAGTGTTGACCCTTCTTTTTCAAGACCTCTGCAATCCGCCCTGGCATGCTGTCAATTAACTTCTGGACAACATCCTGACTGATGGCAGCCCATTCTTGCATAATCAATGCTTGGAGTTTGTGGGTTTTTGTTTGTCCACCCGCCTCTTGAGGATTGACCACAAGTTCTCAATGGGATTAAGGTCTGGGGAGTTTCCTGGCCATGGACCCAAAATGTCGATGTTTTGTTCCCCGAGCCACTTAGTTATCACTTTTGCCTTATGGCAAGGTGCTCCATCATCCTGGAAAAGGCATTGTTGGTCACCAAACTGTTCTTGGATGGTTGGGAGAAGTTGCTCTCGGAGGATGTGTTGGTACCATTCTTTATTCATGGCTGTGTTCTTAGGCAAAATTGTGAGTGAGCCCATTCCCTTGGCTGAGAAGCAACCCCACACATGAATGGTCTCAGGATGCTTTACTGTTGGCATGACACAGGACTGATGGTAGCGCTCACCTTGTCTTCTCCGGACAAGCTTTTTTCCGGATGCCCCAAACAATCGGAAAGGGGATTCATCAGAGAAAATGACTTTACCCCAGTCCTCAGCAGTCCAATCCCTGTATCTTTTGCAGAATATCAGTCTGTCCCTGATGTTTTTCCTGGAGAGAAGTGGCTTCCTCTCTGCCCTTCTTGACACCAGCCATCCTCCAAAAGTCTTCGCCTCACTGTGCGTGCAGATGCACTCACACCTGCCTGCTGCCATTCCTGAGCAAGTTCTGCACTGGTGGTGCACAGCTGAATCAACTTTAGGAGACGGTCCTGGCACTTGCTGGACTTTCTTGGGCGCCCTGAATCCTTCTTCACAACAATTGAACCTCTCTTCTTGAAGTTCTTGATGACCCGATAAATGGTTGATTTAGGTGCAATCTTACTTGCAGCAATATCCTTGCCTGTGAAGCACTTTTTGTGCAAAGCAATGATGACGGCACGTGTTTCCTTGCAGGTAACCATGGTTAACAGAGGAAGAACAATGATTTCAAGCACCACCCTCCTTTTAAAGCTTCCAGTATGTTATTCTAACTCAATCAGCATGACAGAGTGATCTCCAGCCTTGTCCTCGTCAACACTCTCACCTGTGTTAACGAGAGCATCACTGACATGATGTCAGCTGGTCCTTTTGTGGCAGGGCTGAAATGCAGTGGAAATGTTTTTGGGGGATTAAGTTCATTTTCATGGCAAAGAGGGACTTTGCAATTAATTGCAATTCATCTGATCACTCTTCATAACATTCTGGAGTATATGCAAATTGCCATCATAAAAACTGAGGCAGCAGACTTTGTGAAAATTAATATTTGTGTCATTCTCAAAACTTTTGACCACGACTGTACACCCCTGATTGACGTACCTCCAGGTGAGTACTGACTGGCACCCATCTTGGGGCTGCCTCGGTTTCGGGGGGACATCAGGAGCCCCTGCTGGGGGCCAATCATCCGGGGGCTCCCCAAGGGGCTGTTCATACCCCCCATTCCATACCCCCCACTGCTCTGGAAAGGGGGCTGCTGGGGGTGCTGATGTTGCTGCTGGGGTTGCTGATGTTGCTGCTGGGGTAGCTGATGTTGCTGCATGCCAGGGTGGTTCCCTGGACCTGGGTGGTTCATCTGATGACCCATCTGATTCATTTGGTTCATCTGGCCCATCTGATTCATCTGCATCATTCTGTTGCCCATGCCTCCCCTGCCGCTACCACCACCTCCATTCCCTCCGTACATTGAACCCCCTCCAATCTGTCCCATGTGGCTCTGTTCATTCATGGGCCCGTAGCCCCGGTTCATACCCCCCATGCCTCCACCAGGGGGCATGTTCATCTGGGTGTTGGGGTTGGGGGCCCCCATGCCCTGCTGCCTCATAGGCCCTGGCATCAGGCCCCCGCCCTGGGCAGAGCGATAGCCATGCTGCTCCCTGGAAGAGAGGACGAGGAGGCGAGAAGGAGGAGGAGAAAAGAGCATGTGAGAGAAGTGAGGTTATCATGACATCCTTGGCGCTCTATTCTGGTAAACACTCAGATCCAGTCTAGCAGAAGAGTCTCTTGAATAGTCATAAGATGGAACTGAAGTACATACACACTGAAGAAAGTAATTTAACGAAAAAAAATTAAGAAAAAAAAGTCAATTCACTACTCAACCTTCTAAACCTTACTTCTTCCAAGTGTTCTTTGAGACTTGTCAAGCACAATAATTGTACCTATTCCTCTTACTGAGAATGGAACAAAACCACCAGGTGGCCTGTAGGCATTCTCCACTGTGTGAAACATCAATACAAGCCTTCAGAGCCATCTGCCATAGAGAGGATGTTGTGGATATCAGCAGGCATCAGTTACCTCAGCTGTGTGTGTTTGTGTACTCTGTGTCTTGCAAAGTTAGCAAGAATGTGTGTAACTCGTTTTCTACCTCAGAAGGTGTGTGTGTGTACCTCTGTAGCAGGTGGGTGGATATGAAGCCCTGGGCCTCGTTGCTCATGGGGTGGCGGTAAAGCTTGCTCTTGGTCTGGGCCGTGACAGGGGTGCCGTCCGAGAGAGAGAAACGGTACAGGGGGGTCTCAGCGTGACCCTGTAGGAAGGCTGTGGGGCCAAGGACAAGGGGGCAAATACAATGGGTTCATATCAAGATATGGAAGTGAAATATATATCAAAGATGAGGTATAGGGTTGGTGGTATCATGACAAAAGTGGCTCTTTGTGATGCCATTCATGCGTGTTTTTGGACAGGTATGTGTGTTTTGGGAAAGGTACCGTGTGTGCGACTGCGTGTAACACATGTGTGTATTGGTACAGGTGTGTGTGTGGCGTACCCTCGTGATAGTGGCGTTTGTGGGACCAGGGCTGTCCGTCACTGTGCTGTAGGAACATCTGGATACAGCGCCTCAGCAGGTCCTCCCAGCCAGGACGCATGGACGCACGCAAAGAGTTCTGGTCTATCTGGATCAGCTTACCTGGAGGAAAGAAGAGGAGCTGGAGATTGTGGAGCATGGATTGTATATACAGTGAGGGAAAAAAGTATTTGATCCCCTGCTGATTTTGTACGTTTGCCCACTGACAAAGACATGATCAGTCTATAATTTTAATGGTAGGTTTATTTGAACAGTGAGAGACAGAATAACAACAAAAAAATCTAGAAAAACGCATGTCAAAAATGTTATAAATTTATTTGCATTTTAATGAGAGAAATAAGTATTTGACCCCTCTGCAAAACATGAGTACTTGGTGGCAAAACCCTTGTTGGCAATAATATGCCATTTAGCAGACGCTTTTATCCAAAGCGACTTACAGTCATGTGTGCATACATTTTTACATATGGGTGGTCCCGGGGATCGAACCCACTACCATGGCATTACAAGCGCCATACTCTACCAATTGAGCTACAGAGGACCACAATCACAATCACAGAGGTCAGACGTCTCTTGTAGTTGGCCACCAGGTTTGCACACATCTCAGGAGGGATTTTGTTCCACTCCTCTTTGCAGATCTTCTCGAAGTCATTAAGGTTTCGAGGCTGATGTTTGGCAACTCGAACCTTCAGCTCCCTCCACAGACTTTCTATGGGATTAAGGTCTGGAGACTGGCTAGGCCACTCCAGGACCTTAATGTGCTTCTTCTTGAGCCACTCCTTTGTTGCCTTGGCCGTGTGTTTTGGGTCATTGTCATGCTGGAATACCCATCCACGACCCATTTTCAATGCCCTGGCTGAGGGAAGGAGGTTCTCACCCAAGATTTGACGGTACATGGCCCCGTCCATCGTCCCTTTGATGCGGTGAAGTTGTCCTGTCCCCTTAGCAGAAAAACACCCCCAAAGCATAATGTTTCCACCTCCATGTTTGACGGTGGGGATGGTGTTCTTGGGGTCATAGGCAGCATTCCTCCTCCTCCAAACACAGCGAGTTGAGTTGATGCCAAAGAGCTCGATTTTGGTCTCATCTGACCACAACACTTTCATCCAGTTCTCCTCTGAATCATTCAGATGTTCATTGGCTAACTTCAGACGGCCCTGTATATGTGCTTTCTTGAGCAGGGGGACCTTGCGGGCGCTGCAGGATTTCAGTCCTTCACGGCGTAGTGTGTTACCAATTGTTTTCTTGGTGACTATGGTCCCAGCTGCCTTGAGATCATTGACAAGATCCTCCCGTGTAGTTCTGGGCTGATTCCTCACCGTTCATGATCATTGCAACTCCACGAGGTGAGATCTTGCATGGAGCCCCAGGCCGAGGGAGATTGACAGTTATTTTGTGTTTCTTCCATTTGCGAATAATCGCACCAACTGTTGTCACCTTCTCACCAAGCTGCTTGGCGATGGTCTTGTAGCCCATTCCAGCCTTGTGTAGGTCTACAATCTTGTCCCTGACATCCTTGGAGAGCTCTTTGGTCTTGGCCATGGTGGAGAGTTTGGAATCTGATTGATTGATTGCTTCTGTGGACAGGTGTCTTTTATACAGGTAACAAGCTGAGATTAGGTGCACTCCCTTTAAGAGTGTGCTCCTAATCTCAGTTCGTTACCTGTATAAAAGACACCTGGGAGCCAGAAATCTTTCTGATTGAGAGGGGGTCAAATACTTATTTCCCTCATTAAAATGCAAATCAATTTATAACATTTTTGACATGCGTTTTTCTGGATTTTGCTGTTCAAATAAACCTACCATTAAAATTATTGACTGCTCATTTCTTTGTCAGTGGGCAAACTTACAAAATCAGCAGGGGATCAAATACTTTTTTCCCTCACTGTACCTATTGAAAGACCTCCATTTTTGTAAAATGTATATACCCATTTAAGGATATTGTACACTTTATGTACACACAAGGCCCTATTAAATCAAACTCTGCAACCAGGTTTGCGGGATATGTCAAAAACATAAATTGTGTTGCGGTCAGTTTCACCTGAAAGCTCGTGCCGGGTGTTGAAGCTCTCTGTTCTCTCCACAGCAGTCACACGACGGGCCACACAGATCATACACGACTGCAGGTCTGAGGAAGAAGGGAAATAGTTAGTTTAGCTACACATACATTACGTTTGGGCTCGTGTGTGTGTGTGATTGTGTGTGTATGTGTGTAAGATTGTGTGTGTGTGTCGTTTGTATGTGAGTGTGTCTGTGTGTGCGTGTGTCCATACCTTCCCCCTCTTCTATCATGGCCTTGGGCTGGGTCAAGGCGAAGCATTGCATGGTCTCGTAGCGCGGCCCTCCTGGTCCCTCCTCCACATGTCCGTGGGTGTGGCCAAACTTGACCAGCATGCGGCAGGTGAAGGTGTGGCTCTTCTGACGTGGCGCCTCCCCCCCCCAGGACACCCCATTAACTGTGGAGGACGAGACACCCACATCAATATACATGTAGTACATACAAATATTTTATTTTAACAGGGAGTCCCATTGAGACCAACGTCTCTTTTGCAAGGGAGCCCTGCATGCACACAATTTACAAAATACAATAGAATACAAACACAGTGCCTTCAGAAAGTATTCACACCCCTTGACTTATTTCACATTTTGTTGTGTTACAGCCTGAATTCAAAATGGATTAAATAGATTTTTTTTCTCACCCATCTACACACAATACCCCATAATGACAAAGTGTTTTTAGAAATTTTAGAAATATCTAATCTAATTTACATAAGTATTCATACCCGAGTCAATACTGTAGAAGCGCCTTTGTCAGCGATTACAGCTGTGAGTCTTTCTAGATAAGTCTCTAAGAGCTTTCCAAGGCGGCAGGTAGCTTAGTGGTTAAGAGCGTTGTGCCAGTAACCGAAAGGTCGCTGGTTCTAATCCCCGAGCCGACTAGGTGAAAAATCTGTCGATGTGCCCTTGAGCAAGGCACTTAACCCTAATTGCTCCTGTAAGTCGCTCTGGATAAGAGCGTCTGCTAAATGACTAAAATGTAAATTTTTCCACACCTGGATTGTGCAACATTTGCCCATTATTCTTTAAGCTCTGTTAGACAACCATTTTCAGGTCTTGCCATAGATTTTCAAGTAGATTTAATTAAAAACTAACTCAGCCACTCAGGAACATTCACTGTCTTCTTGGTAAGCAACTCCAGTGTATATTTGGCCTTGTGTTTTAGGTTATTGTCCTGCTGAAAGGTGAATTAATCTCCAAGTGTCTGGTGGAAAACAGACTGAACCAGGTTTTCTTCTAGGATTTTGCCTGTGCTTAACACCATTCCATTTATTTTTTATCCTGAAAAACTCCCCAGTCCTTAACGATTACAAGCATACCCATAACATGATGCAGCCACCACTATGCTTGAAAATATGGAGAGTGGTACTCAGTAATGTGTTGCATTGGATTTGCCCCAAACATAACACTTTGTATTCAGGACAAAACATTAATTGCTTTGCCACATTTTTTTCAGTATTACTTTAGTGCCTTGTAGAAAACAGGATGCATGTTTTGGAATATTTGTATTCTGTACAGGCTTCCTTCTTTTCACTCTGTCAATTAGGTTACTATTGTGGAGTAACTACAATGTTCTTGATCCATCCTCCATTTTCTCCTATCACAGCCATTAAACTCTGTAACTGTTTTAAAGTCACCATTGGCCTCATGGTGAAATCCCTGAGCGTTTTCCTTCCTCTCCGGCAACTGAGTTAGGAAGGACGCCTGTATATTTGTAGTGTCTGGGTATATTGATACACCATCCAAGGTGTAATTAATAAATTCACCATGCTCAAAGGAATATTCAATGTTTTTTTTTTTACCCATCTACCAATAGGTGCCCTTCTGGTCTTTGTGGTTGAATCTGTGTTTGAAATTCACTGCTCGACTGAGGGACCTTACAGATAATTGTATGTGTGGGGTACAGAGATGACGTAGTCATTCAAAAATCATGTTAAATACTAGTATTGCACACAGAGTGAGTTCATGCAACTTATTATGTGACTTGTTAAGCAAAGTTTTACTCCTGAACTTATTTAGGATTGCCATAAGGGGTTAAATACTTATTGACTCAAGACATTTCAGCTTTAAATGTTTTACTAATTTGTAAAAATGTTGAAAAACATAATTCCACTTTGACATTATGGGGTATTTGTGTGTAGGCCAGTGACCAAAAATGTTTTTGCAATATAATCCATTTTATATTAAGGCTGTAACACAACAAAATGTGGAAAGAGTCAAGGGGTGTGAATACTTTCTGAAGGCACTGTATAAAAAATTACTAACACACTCAAGAAAAACAATCCCATTCCTCATAAAAAAAGAGGTCCCCAATCAACATGTTGAACTGCCTGAGAGGCATCAGTACATCCAGTTGTAGGGAACTTTGTAGATTGTTTCATACATGGGATGGGGTGCAAAGAAACAAAAATATGTATGTACAAACAAACACGGATAGAGAGCCTCAGACCTACAGTATGTACAGTATACGCACAAACATATTTTGTCAGTGTCAAACATAACATTATGTAATTTAGCTAACACTCTTATCCGGAGCGACTTGCAGTCGGAGAATAAAACAAGGACACACGGCACAACCAGAGACAAACATGATATGAGATTAATTCAAGAAAGATGCATTGTATAATCTTCTAAATCGTTCAAATATCGGGACACACACACACACACACCACACACACACACCACACACACACACCACACACCACACACGCGACAGAGGAACCAGCCCTGCTTGCTAGAGTATTACTACTTTCCTTCTTAAATCTAAAAGCAGAAGTATTCCCTCTCATTCTGATTCCTGGCTAAATGGACCATGGGATTAATGTAGCTGAAGTGTCGATTTCCAATATCCCTCCAGCACTGTGCAGCTGCCGAGGGCAGGGGGGAAGCAGAGCAGCCAGGTAGGCAGGGACACCCAGCCATCTATCCCGATTTGGGCCCTGACTCCTCATCAAAGCACAGCCACCCAAGAGGGTCACCTTCACAAGAAAGGGGATGGGGTGGGGGAGGGGTGCTCAACTAAACTTTACAGAGAGAGATCCTACTGTAGGCCTTGTGAAAATACTTTTAGCATTCATCCTACATTCTCTCTTGTCTGACACAAACACAATTAAAAAGGTGTTAAAATAGCACAGGTTCCATTACATTGCCTCTCTCCTATTCAGTCATGTGAGATCAATGATTAGGACGTGAGGGAGGAAGGTTTGGAACAGGGCCCCAGTCTCCCCCAAGGTCTGCCTTATCAGGGACCAAGGCCTCCAGTCTGTCTGAAGCCTTATCAGGGACCAAGGCCTCCAGTCTGTCTGAAGCCTTATCAGGGACCAAGGCCTCCAGTCTGTCTGATGCCTTATCAGGGACAAAGGCCTCCAGTCTGTCTGATGCCTTATCAGGGACAAAGGCCTCCAGTCTGTCTGAAGCCTTATCAGGGACAAAGGCCTCCAGTCTGTCTGATGCCTTATCAGGGACAAAGGCCTCCAGTCTGTCTGAAGCCTTATCAGGGACCAAGGCCTCCATCTGTCTGAAGCCTTATCAGGGACCAAGGCCTCCAGTCTGTCTGAAGCCTTATCAGGGACCAAGGCCTCCAGTCTGTCTGATGCCTTATCAGGGACAAAGGCCTCCAGTCTGTCTGATGCCTTATCAGGGACCAAGGCCTCCAGTCTGTCTGATGCCTTATCAGGGACAAAGGCCTCCAGTCTGTCTGATGCCTTATCAGGGACCAAGGCCTCCAGTCTGTCTGATGCCTTATCAGTGACCAAGGCCTCCAGTCTGTCTGATGCCTTATCAGGGACCAAGGCCTCCAGTCTGTCTGTTTCTGACAGGGCAGGTGGAGGGACTGAGGGAACATGTGTCTGTACAGAGAGGGGGCCCTAGCTGATCTAACTGATACTGAGAGATGATTTAAAAAGGTCTTAGACCATTAGGATCCTTTCTCCAGCCTGACAGAGACAACAACACCGCCTGGCCGTGAGGCCCGACATTTCCCCTCAGACACAATTGACCAGCACTTAGGCTGGACAGAGGGGTCGATTCAGGGAGAAAACACACACACACGAGAAACAAAAACATCCCACCCCCTATACACACACAGGGGGTTGTGAAAGTAAGAGAAAATGTGTGTTGTGTGTGTGTGTGTGGCGTGCATATGTGTGTGTGTGTGTGTGTGTGTGTGTGAAGCCCCAGTTGGCGTGGTCAGTGGTCATCCCACAGGAATGTGCAGAGAGAGCGTATTTCATTCATGGAGTCAGAGATAATGATGGGGGAGAGGCGCGGGGAGGAGAGAGAATAAAAAAGAAATATAGAGAAAGGGAAAGCAAAAGAAAGAAACTAGAGTCCTACCAACCACATTATTCAACACTAAGTTAAGTATAAAAATAGACAAGAGAATAGGTGAAAAAGACAGAAAGTACAAAACAGAGCGAGAGAGAGAGAGAGACGATGACACTTTGGAGCCGCTGCTTAGGAACACTGCTGGGGAGTAAATCAGGGAGCAGGTTCAGCTGAGCACACGTATCCATAATTAATCAGCTTTATAAATAGACACACACACACAGAGAATGAAAGCTGGTGAAGTGCAGCAGTGCATTATTCAGTAGTGAGTAGTTTCCAGATGGCTGCCATGAGATCTGAATAGAGCACAGGTCTGTTTTACACTGTCTGGACCACTGAGTGTGACTGACAGCTCTGCCACGCTCTGTCTGCTTAGAACTAGCTCTTTGTGTGTGAGCAGGTGGGTCACAGTGTGTGTGTGTGTGTGTGTGTGTGTGGTACCATTGGTCTTGGGCAGGTTCTTGTGGAACTCCTCCCTGTCATCCTCATGGAGGATGTTGTAGACGGAAGTGTTGATGAGCTCCTCCTGTTTGTACTGCAGGTACTGGGTCACGTTGTCAGACACAAACACTATGCTGCCCTCCCGGTTCACCACAAACAGAAAACCATCCAGGGCCTGAGGACAGAGGGAAAACACATGAAGAGTCAGTACAAAGGCCAATAAGAGGCCAGAGTCAGCACAGCCAGCCAATCAAAGAGGAGAGTCGTGACCTTTGACCTCACCTGCAGCAGGAGCGGCCCGAGGTGGTCTTTGTCTATGACCCCCTGTCCCGTGGAGGACACGTCCGACTTCTGTACATCGTCATCGTTGGAGGACGCTTTGCCTGAACGGAGGAGACCGTACAGTCAGATATGCCTCATTCTACAATCAAGTACACAGTAACACACATCTCCTGTACAATCTCCTGTGCAAGTGTGTGTGCAAATAAGAAAACATTTCAAGTATGAAGAGCTGAGCTGTGAAAGGCGTAAACTCTTTAAACACAGATCTGTGTAACTCTACATCCCCATCCACTTATTAGAGCTCCAACAACCACCAGGGGTCAGCGTTTCCCAACCTTCCCTCCACACAAAGCACCAGGTAAAGGGAGCAACATCCATATGCAGGCTTCTCTGTCTGAGGAGCGATGGGGCTGAGACCAGACCAGGGCTGGATGTAGACCAGAGCAGTCTAGTGTATGGTGTGGACTAACAGCCTGCCTTGCTGCCTCCATGCTTTATATTTAGTGTGAGATTTAAGAGGGACTGGCTGGCTGGCAGAGACCCAGGCAGGCACTAGGCAGCAGCAGTATTAATGCAGAAGCTATCTGGAGCTGGACTACAGGAATCACTCCATCTGATTAGGTCCAAGGGGGGAAAAGATACAGCAAACACAAAGAAAAACAGCCAGGCCTGCTCTGAAGAGAGAGAGAGAGAGAGAGAGAGAGAGAGAGAGAGAGAGAGAGAGAGAGAGAGAGAGAGAGAGAGAGAGAGAGAGAGAGAGAGAGAGAGAGAGAGAGAGAGAGAGAGAGAGAGAGAGAGAGAGAGAGAGAGAGAGAGAGAGAGAGAAAATGGGTCACATCTCCTGCAGCACGCTGGGTATGTACATAGTCAATGGTAGACTTCAAGGGGACTCCTATGGTAGGTACACATATAGCTAATCTATTGGCAGTAGTACTGTAGACTACTTTATCACTGACCTCAACCCAGAGTCTCTCAGAGCGTTCACAGTCAGCCCACTGACACCCCTATCAGATCACAGCAAAATCACAGTCTACTTGAACAGAGCAATACCCAAATACCCACTATGGTGAATCAATAAAACACAAAAGGAAAAGAAGGAACAGCACGTCAGAAATCAGCTCAATGTATTTGAAGAATCCATAGACTAACCACTTCTGGGAAAATTGGAAAACACTAGAACAACAACACGAAGAGTAATCTATCCAAAACGGAGATGTATGGGTAAACCACTTCTCCAATCTTTTTGGCCCTATAATAATGAACAAACAGCAAAAACATATACATGATCAAATACAAATCTTAGAATCAACTATTAAACACTACCAGAACCCACTGGATTCTCCAATTACATTGAATGAACTACAGGACAAAATACAAACCCTCCAACCCAAAAAGGCCTGTGGTGTTCATGGTATCCTCAATGAAATTATAAAATATACAGACCACAAATTCCAATTGGCTATACTTAAACCCTTTAACATCAACCTTAGCTCTGGCATCTTCCCCAATATTTGGAACCAAGGACTGATCACCTCAATCCACAAAAGTGGAGACAAATTTGACCCCAATAACTACCGTGGGATATGCGTCAACAGCAACCTTGGGAAAATCCTCTGCATTATCATTAACAGCAGACTCGTACATTTCCTCAGTGAAAACAATGTACTGAGCAAATGTCAAATTGGCTTTTTATCAAATTACCGTATGACAGACCACGTATTCACCCTGCACACCCTAATTGACAAACAAACAAACCAAAACAAAGGCAAAGTCTTCTCATGCTTTGTTGATTTCAAAAAAGCGTTTGACTCGATTTGGAATGAGGGTCTGCTATACAAATTGATGGAAAGTGGTGTTGGGGGAAAAACATACAACATTATAAAATCCAACAAGTGTGCGGTAAAAATGGGCAAAAAACACACACATTTCTTTCCACAGGGCCGTGGGGTGAGACAGGGATGCAACCTAAGCCCCACCCTATTCAACGAATTGGCGAGGGCACTAGAACAGTCTGCAGCACCCGGCCTCACCCTACTAGAATCTGAAGTCAAATATCTACTGTTTGCTGATGATCTGGTGCTTCTGTCCCCAACCAAGGAGGGCCTACAGCAGCACCTAGATCTTCTGCACAGATTCTGTCAGACCTGGGCCCTGACAGTAAATCACAGTAAGACAAAAATAATGGTGTTTCCAAAAAGGTCCAGTTGCCAGGACCACAAATATAAATTCCATTTAGACACTGTTGCCCTAGAGCACACAAAAAAACTATACATACCTCGGCCTAAACATCAGCGCCACAGGTAACTTCCACAAAGCTGTGAATGATCTGAGAGACAAGGCAAGAAGGGCCTTCTATGCCATCAAAATGAACATAAAATGTGACATACCAATTAGGATCTGGCTAAAAATACTTGAATCAGTTATAGAACCCATTGCCCTTTATGGTTGTGAGGTCTGGGGTCCGCTCACCAACCAAGAATTCACTAAATGGGACAAACAACAAATTGAGACTGCATGCAGAATTCTGCTAAAATATCCTCAGTGTACAACGTAAAACACCAAATAATGCAGGCTGAGCAGAATTAGGCCGATACCTGCTAATGATCAAAATCCAGAAAAGAGCCGTTAAATTCTATAACCACCTAAAAGGAAGCGATTCCCAAACCTTCCATAACAAAACCATCACCTACAGAGAGATTCACTTGGAGAAGAGCCCCCTAAGCAAGCTGGTCCTGGGGCTCTGTTTACAAACACAAAACAAACAGACCCTACAGAGCCCCAGGATAGCAACACAATAAGACCCAACCAAATCATGAAAAAACTAAAAGAGAATTACTTGACACATTGGAAAGAATTTACAAAAAAACAGAGCAAACTAGAATGCTATTTGGCCCTAAACAGAGAGTACACAGTGGCAGAATACCTGACCACTGTGACTGACTCAAACTTAAGGAAAGCTTTGACTATGTACAGACTCAGTGAGCATAGCCTTGCTATTGAGAAAGGCCGCCGTAGGTAGACCTGGCTCTCAAGAGAAGACTGGCTATGTGCACACTGCCCACAAAATGAGGTGGACACTGAGCTGCACTTCCTAACCTCCTGCCAAATGTATGACCATATTAGAGACCCATATTTCCCTCAGATTACACAGAAACAAACCCAATTTTGATAAACTCCCATATATATATATATATATATATATATATATATATATATATATATATATATATATTGGGTGAAATACCACAGTGTGCAATCACAGCAGCAAGATTTGTGACCTGTTACCACTAGAAAAGGGAAACCAGTGAAGAACAAACACCATTGTAAATACAAGCTATATTTATGTTTATTAATCTTCACTTTTGTACCTTAACTATTTGCACATAATATGACTTTTGAAATTTCTTTATTCTTTTGGAACTTTTGTGAGTGTAATGTTTACTGTTAATTTATATTGTTTATTTCACTTTTGTTTATTATATACTTCACTTGCTTTGGCAATGTTAACATATGTTTCCCATGCCAATAAAGCCCTTAAATTGAAATTGAATTGAGAGGGGGGTAGACAGAGAAGATGGGTGGGGGCAGAGGGAGAAAGAAAGAAGGGGGTGGAGGAGAGGTAATGACAGAGGGAGGAGGATACGCTCCAGTGGTTCCCTCAATATCTTAAGATGCTAGGAGCAACCTGAGGATGCTGCATTTTATTGGACTGAAATACAGATGAAGCCAAAATGGCAAGCTAGAAAGAGAAGGAAGGAGAGAGTGAACTAGTGAAGAAGAGATACCGAGAAAGAGGAAAGGGGGAGGGTGGGACTGGGAGAGAGACACAGAGAGAAAAAATAAATAGATACAGAGAAATTGAGAGACAGAGAGAAAGTGAAATAGTGTGGGAGCAAGGGAGAGAGAGAAAGAAAGAAAGAAAGAAAGAAAGAAAGAAAGAAAGAAAGAAAGAAAGAAAGAAAGAAAGAAAGAAAGAAAGAAAGAAAGAAAGAAAGAAAGAGAGAGAGAGAGAAAGAAAGAAAGAAAGAAAGAGAGAGAGAGAAAGAAAGAAAGAGAGCCAGACAGAGTTGTAAAGAGTGAAATCTAATGCCTTTATTATTCACTTCCGGTAACTATGGCAACCTGTTTCCGGAGAGTCAGTGCCAGCTGTACTTCCCCTTCCTGTCGAGGTGGCAGAGACTAACTGTCACCTCCCCTTGCCTTAGTCTCTGTCTCTGTTCAGACTGACTGTCACCTCCCCCTGCCTCAGTCTCAGTCTCTGTTCAGACTAACTGTCACCTTCCCCTGCCTCAGTCTCTGTTCAGACTAACTGTCACCTTCCCCTGCCTCAGTCTCTGTCTCTGTTCAGACTAACTGTCACCTTCCCCTGCCTCAGTCTCTGTTCAGACTAACTGTCACCTTCCCCTGCCTCAGCCTCTGTTCAGACTAACTGTCACCTCCCCCTGCCTCAGTCTCTGTCTCTGTTCAGACTAAATGTCACCTCCCCCTGCCTCAGTCTCTGTTCAGACTAACTGTCACCTTCCCCTGCCTCAGTCTCTGTTCAGACTAACTGTCACCTTCCCCTGCCTCAGCCTCTGTTCAGACTAACTGTCACCTCCCCCTGCCTCAGTCTCTGTTCAGACTAACTGTCACCTCCCCCTGCCTCAGCCTCTGTTCAGACTATAATCCTCCCACTCCATTAGGCTCAGCTAGATCTAGGACACTAAACTGATCTTAGATCAATGTCTAGGGCCAACTTCAGCCTACTACTCCCTGCCGGTCCCCCTACCAATGCCCATCACAGAAGGCTGCCGAGAGGAGGACTGCTCATAATAATGGCTGGAATGGAGTGAATGGAATGGTATCAAACACATGGAAACCATGAGGTTGATGTGTTCGATACCATTTCATTTATTCCGTTCCAGCCGCTACAATGAGCCCGTCCTCCCCAATTAAGGTACCACCAACCTCTGGTGCCTCCAAGCCATTGTGAACACCAGTGGTGCCCAGCCAAAGGGGGAATGAAACATGCTCAAAAGTACTGTAAAATATTCACAATGTAACACCTAATCTACAACAACTTCCACAAGATCGTACCTGACAATAACGGAGGCTAAGCAGTCCACTTTGATTACCTGTAACGGCAGTTACACAACCAATGACATGCACACAAAGGCAGTGACATGCACACAAAGCCCTGCCAAAGTTCCCCCAAACAATCACCAATAGCCCAGGCTGTGAAATGGTGTGGCGATGAATGAGTGATGGATGAGTCTGTAGCTCTGTGCACCTGGGCCCACAGCTCTCCCTCCCCTACCCTCCTCTCCCTGGCCCAGCTGCTCTGGGGGAAAGACACACAGCCAGGGCTCCAGCCCTCTCACAGACCTGCTCCATACTATCAGCTCTAACTGCCTCCCTTTTAGCCCATCTTGCTTTCCAGTGCCACTCCAGTGCTAATCCAGTGCCACTCCAGTGCTAATCCAGTGCTACTCCAGTGCTAATCCAGTGTTATCTTCACATCTGTTAGGCTATCATCAAGGCCAATAACACTCCAAATGTTTTAGGTGCACTAACAACATTGGGAGCCACAGATTTAAGGGGTGATATGATGAAAGTAATGGTGATGGGTTTACTATTAGTCCTGTCCACAGGCTGACCAAACGTAGTATCCCAAATAGGGAATAGGGTGTCATTTCTGACATAGCCACAGTACTGGTTCTGAGACAGCCATGTCTAGCAGTGGTACTGTGTAGTCAGTGATAAAGTGACAGATATTACTAATGGGTTAGCCACCGCTACAGTGTGTGTGTGTGTCTACTGACCCTGCTCTTTGATCTGTCTGATCTGGCGCACCGTCTCCTTGAGGATGGCACACTTGTCTGGCTTGACGTTGAAGCTGTCGATGTCACCGAGGTTGGCAGAGATCAGTTCGGCCAGCTCCTCTATGTATTTAGTCTCCTGCTCCCGCCGCCTCCGCTCACACCTACAGGGGGTACCACTGTGTGTTATTACCGGTATTCACCATTATTATTTACCGTTGTTTTACCAGGGTTCTATTCATTAGGCACCAAACTGAAGAAAATGGACTGAAACAGGGAGGGACTACCTGAAATTGTACAATAAGAAATTCTTATATTTGTTTTCCATTGCAAAACGCTTTAAAACGTTTTTCATTCCATGCCCGACTGAATATGACCCTGGTAGTTTGACTAGGAAAACACTCAGCATATTCAAGAAAATCAGCCTATTTCCATGTTTAAGGTTAGCGAATCTGCCCAGTGTCTTTAATGTGCCGAATGTCATTTACAGTATAGCATTCTGGGATGTGGCTCAATCACTGTAATAACAACCTTTCATTCTCTAGTTCAGGTACTCTGAGCATTGACTCAACCATGCTTGGACATGCACATTCAACCTTCCATGACTTTGAGGATGCATTTACAGACTATTCAAACAGAAACCGGTTTACAACAGGTCAATGTTGAGCTTAACCCAATATCCCACCCAAATAATCAAATGGTCAAATATTGTGAAACCGGTTTCAAACTGCTTCAAACTGGCTGTGTTTACACAGGCAGCCCAATTCTGATCTTTTTTTTACTAATTGGTCTTTTGACCAATCAGATCAGCTCTGAAAAAGATCTGATGTGAAAAGATCTGATGTGATAGATCAAAAGACCAATACTTTTAAGGTGAATGACTACAGCTACTAGTGATCTCCAGAGTCAGTAGCCAGGGTTGACCTACAGTAGAATACAGTAAAAAGGCTCAACCCTGTTGTAATTCAAAATGTATGATTACAAATGTGTATTATCTCACTTGACAAAATATATTTGTATGTTTTATCACCAGCCCCCTACTCACCCCAGACTGGGCGTGTCGCAGGTGGAGAGCTTGCGTTTTCGGTTTTCCGAGCTCAGAGGCTCCATGGAGTTGTCCCCCAGTCCGCTCATCGTGTACACATATCAGCACCTGACAAGGATAGGAAACACAAACACTTAGACAACAGGTGAGATGATGGGAGGGACGGCTAATAATATGTTAATGTGGCTGGGTGGGGAAGACAAAAACAGGTGTAGGAACCTCCATATACAGTGGGGGGAAAAAGTATTTAGTCAGCCACCAATTGTGCAAGTTCTCCCACTTAAAAAGATGAGAGAGGCCTGTAATTTTCATCATAGGTACACGTCAACTATGACAGACAAAATGAGAAAAAGAAAATCCAGAAAATCACATTGTAGGATTTTTAATGAATTTATTTGCAAATTATGGTGGAAAATAAGTATTTGGTCAATAACAAAAGTTTTGTTATATACCCTTTGTTGGCAATGACACAGGTCAAACGTTTTCTGTAAATCTTCACAAGGGTTTCACACACTGTTGCTGGTATTTTGGCCCATTCCTCCATGCAGATCTCCTCTAGAGCAGTGATGTTTTGGGGCTTTCGCTGGGCAACACAGACTTTCAACTCCCTCCAAATATTTTCTATGGGGTTGAGATCTGGCTAGGCCACTCCAGGACCTTGAAATGCTTCTTACGAAGCCACTCCTTCGTTGCCCGGGCGGTGTGTTTGGGATCATTGTCATGCTGAAAGACCCAGCCACGTTTCATCTTCAATGCCCTTGCTGATGGAAGGAGGTTTTCACTCAAAATCTCACGATACATGGCCCCATTCATTCTTTCCTTTACACGGATCAGTCGTCCTGGTCCCTTTGCAGAAAAACAGCCCCAAAGCATGATGTTTCCACCCCCATGCTTCACAGTAGGTATGGTGTTCTTTGGATGCAACTCAGCATTCTTTGTCCTCCAAACACGACGAGTTGAGTTTTTACCAAAAAGTTCTATTTTGGTTTCATCTGACCATATGACATTCTCCCAATCCTCTTCTGGATCATCCAAATGCACTCTAGCAAACTTCAGACGGGCCTGGACATGTACTGGCTTAAGCAGGGGGACACGTCTGGCACTGCAGGATTTGAGTCCCTGGCGGCGTAGTGTGTTACTGATGGTAGGCTTTGTTACTTTGGTCCCAGCTCTCTGCAGGTCATTCACTAGGTCCCCCCGTGTGGTTCTGGGATTTTTGCTCACCGTTCTTGTGATCATTTTGACCCCACAGGGTGAGATCTTGCGTGGAGCCCCAGATCGAGGGAGATTATCAGTGGTCTTGTATGTCTTCCATTTCCTAATAATTGCTCCCACAGTTGATTTCTTCAAACCAAGCTGCTTACCTATTGCAGATTCAGTCTTCCCAGCCTGGTGCAGGTCTACAATTTTGTTTCTGGTGTCCTTTGACAGCTCTTTGGTCTTGGCCATAGTGGAGTTTGGAGTGTGACTGTTTGAGGTTGTGGACAGGTGTCTTTTATACTGATAACAAGTTCAAACAGGTGCCATTAATACAGGTAACGAGTGGAGGACAGAGGAGCCTCTTAAAGAAGAAGTTACAGGTCTGTGAGAGCCAGAAATCTTGCTTGTTTGTAGGTGACCAAATACTTATTTTCCACCATAATTTGCAAATAAATTCATTAAAAATCCTACAATGTGATTTTCTGGAAAAAAAATTCTCAATTTGTCTGTCATAGTTGACATGTACCTATGATGATAATTACAGGCCTCTCTCATCTTTTTAAGTGGGAGAACTTGCACAATTGGTGGCTGACTGAATACTTTTTTCCCCCACTGTATAAACACATCTAACCTTATGGCTATTGTTTAAACCCAGAGACAGACATGTAGGAGAAGCTTTATGTTAAATATACATATACAACCAGGGTACTCTTAAGCTTATATTATGCAAATAAGACACTCTTGGCACAATATGAAGAATCGATATTGCATTTTGCATCGTCTGCTTCTTTCTCTCCTTGGGTAGAGTGTGTTTAGGACCGGGCACACACACACACACACACACACACACACACACACACACACACACACACACACACAGCAGGATTAGCAGTGTCTCTGACAGTAAACCACGCTGCATGACTAACCCAGTTAAGACAGCCGTCTGTCTCCCACAATGCATCACACTCGGTATACAGGAAGTGGGCTGACAAAGGTGGGGGGGAGAGGAGAGCGAGAAGTCAGCAGCATGAAGTCTGCTGATTAGTTCATTTCTTTACCAGTGATGCTGGGGAAAGGTGAGAGGGGGCAGGGGGAGAGGGAGAGAATGCAAAAGGAGGTAGAGTGAATGAGGTGAGAGACAGAGAAAGGGAGAGGACATAGAGGGGGGAGATGCAGGAAGAGAGGAGGAGGATAAGAGAGGTGAGAGCGGTGGGAGACGGAGGAGAGAGGGATGCAGAGAGGGAGAGGGAAAAGCGTGGTGAAGGGGAGGGAGCAAGGGGGAGAGCAGGAAGAGAGTGAGAGAAGGAGTGGAAGAGAGAGGGAGGAGAGAGGGAGAAGAAAAGGAAGCATGTAGACAGGCCCATGAGCTTTGAGTCTCTGTGGTGCACGATCGGGAGGAGAACCACACTCCAGTGCCCTTCTTAACCTTCACAGCAAGTGCATCATTTTTATTCCATTGATTACATGGTTACCCTCTGACCGACATGCATGAAGCCTCTACTGAATAGAAAAGAAGGCCACCTGAGGGAAAGGAAGCACTGTTGCCATTCTCTCATTCTATCAATTTATTTTACAGATATTTTTAGTTATAATTATTAGGGGTAGCCTAATGTTTATCCATCACTCGGATACATATTTTAATTTCAATCATTTCAAGGACATACGATCGGCTTGACAGAGAGACTGAGTTTGACGCTACATTATCCCAGATATTGCATTTTAACGTTTTAAAGATAGCCCACTAGAACGGCTCATGAACAGACGTTCTACCCAGCCTATGCATTCGATCATGCCTGCTGGTCCGGCAATATCACCTAAATGAAAGTGTCCTCTGGTATAACCAAATAAAATCAATCAAATTGAAAAGCAGCCAATGGAGCTTGATGATGTTGGATGATGGCGTGATGCTCTTCCTCCCTTGGTGTGGACCAGGGTTTCCGTTAGCCGGTAATAGCCATCTTTTGGCCGATAAAAAAATTGAAAAGCTGACAATTATTTAGGTTAATATGCATAATTTAGTTAAATTAAATTGGCGCGTGTACAGTGTATTCGGTATGTACATTTGAAGTCGGAAGTTTACATACACCTTAGCCAAATACATTTAAACTCAGTTTTTCACAATTCCTGACATTTAATCCTAGTAAAAATTCCCTGTTTTAGGTCAGTTAGGATCACCACTTTATTTTAAGAATGTGAAATGTCAGAATATTAGTAGAGAGAATGATTTATTTCAGCTTTTATTTCTTTCATCGCATTCCCAGTGGGTCAGAAGTTTACATACACTCAATTAGTATTTGGTAGCATTGCCTTTAAATTGTTTAACTTGGGTCAAACGTTTCGGGTAGCCTTCCACAAGCTTCCCACAATAAGTTGGGTGAAATTTGGCCCATTCCTCCTGACAGAGCTGGTGTAACTGAGTCAGGTTTGTAGGCCTCCTTGCTTGCACACGCTTTTTCAGTTCTGCCCACACATTTTCTATAGGATTGAGGTCAAGGCTTTGTGATGGCCACTCCAATACCTTGACTTTGTTGTCCTTAAGCCATTTTGCCACAACTTTGGAAGTATGCTTGGGGTCTTGTCCATTTGGAAGACCCATTTGCGACCAAGCTTTAACTTCCTGACTGATGTCTTGAGATGTTGCTTCAAAATATCCACATAATTTTCCTTCCTCATGATGCCATCTATTTTGTGAAGTGCACCAGTCCCTCCTGCAGCAAAGCACCCCCACAGCATGATGCTGCTTCACGGTTGGGATGGTGTTCTTCAGCTTGCAAGCCACCCCCTTTTTCCTCCAAACAAAACGATGGTCATTATGGCCAAACAGTTCTATTTTTGTTTCATCAGACCAGAGGACATTTCTCCAAAAAGTACGATCTTTGTCCCCATGTGCAGTTACAAACCGTAGTCTGGCTTTTATATGGCGGTTTTGGAGCAGTGGCTTCTTCCTTGCTGAGTGGCCTTTCAGGTTATGTTGATATAGGATTCTTTACTGTGGATATAGATACTTTTGAACCTGTTTCCTCCAGCATCTTTACAAGGTCCTTTGCTGTTGTTCTGGGATTGATTTGCACTTTTCGCACCAAAGTACGGTCATCTCTAGGAGACAGAACGTGTCTCCTTCCTGAGCGGTATGACGGCTGCGTGGTCCCATGGTGTTTATACTTGCGTACTATTGTTTGTACAGATGAATGTGGTACCTTCAGGTGTTTGGAAATTGCTCCCAAGGATGAACCAGACTTGTGGAGGTCTACAATTATTTTTCTGAGGTCTTGGCTTATTTCTTTTGATTTTCTCATGATGTCAAGCAAAGAGGCACTGAGTTTGAAGGTAGGCCTTGAAATACATCCACAGGTACACCTCCAATTGACTCAAATGATGTCAATTAGCCTATCAGAAGCTTCTAAAGCCATGATATCATTTTCTGGAATTTTCCAAGCTGTTTAAAGGCACAGTCAACTTAGTGTATGTAAACTTCTGACCCACTGGAATTGTGATACAGTGAATTATAAGTGAAATAATCTGTCTGCAAACAATTGTTGGAAGAATTACTTGTGTTATGCACAAAGTAGATGTCCTAACCGACTTGCCAAAACTATAGTTTGTTAAAAATACATTTGTGGAGTGGTTGAAAAACGGGTTTGAATGACTCCAACCTAAGTGTATGTAAACTTCCCACTTCAACTGTAAATATATGGATGCAGTGTCATTGAATGTACAGCATACAGAGCCTTTGAGCGACAAATCTGTCCGAAAGCGCGAAAGCTGCTGCTACAGCAGCATCTCAAACAGCAAATGCAGAGGCAACGGAAAGCAGGCTTCATCAGCACGTCATACACCACTTTGCAATGAGCTGGAGGCAGTAAGCATTTTATTTAACATATACTTAATTGTTTTAAACTTAAAAGTTTTACTACATATTATGAGGCATGTCTTACCTTACTTCAAAGTAGCCTAGCCAAAATCAGACCATATCCGTGGAGGAAATTATTTTATATGAACTTTCTTTCATTGTCCAGTAGCCAAAGGTACAATCCTAGTCATATTAGCAACCCATGCTAGTTGTTGCATATTAGATCTCCCCTCTTTCAACATTTCTAATGGATATTTTAATCTCTGTCACATGAAACCGCTTGCATGTGCGGTGCGCTTTTGACAACTGTGTTTTTCCGGCAAACTGCATTATGGAACGAACATTCGCGTGTACCTACTGCCTTGTGCGCATTGCTGCGCTTAAAGAAATAATAGTTTATCAACATTTTAAACTAACGTTCTGATCTGTTGCATTTTTAAAATGTGTTTTAAATGAAATACCCCAGGGATCTATTGTCCCACAACTGCCCCAGAGTCTCGAACAAGCTGACCAAAATAATACGTCAACTTTTATACTATAGGGGATATCAGATTGACATAAACTAGTGATTTTGCTGTTCGTTACACATCTTGTTGGCTGAGGAAAAGTAAACGTGGAACGTTATTCTAACAGCTTCAAAGTGTGCATCAGAATTCGATAAGAAGGACGGCACATCATTGCAATCTTCGATTTGCATGTTCTGTTAATATGAATTACCATAATCTAAATGTGATTTCTGTCATTCTGAGCACCGTGGGTGGACGCCCTAATCAGATTACGCACCCAATGCATATGGTTCCTGTAACGTTCTCAAATGTCCGGTAAATTAAAATGCTGCCGATCAAATGTCCTTCGCCACATTTTCCTAACGGAAATCCTGGTGTGGACCCACAGGAGTTTCCACCCGACAACAACACTGACCTTAATTGAGAAGCATCATACAGTAGCTCTGTATGTAGGGAAACACACGCAGCTTTTTTTCAAACACGCTCCCTCACTCCCTCTTTCCCTCCCACCCAAACGCGTTTCTTTCAAATCTATCCATCTCTGTCAATCTTTCCTAAGAGTACAATCTCCTGCCTGCTTGTCTGTCTGTACTGTAATTCATCTTTGCATGAAACTACTAGACTACCCTTCCACTGTCTGATGACACCCGCCATTCCAGGGTGGAAAGGGGGAGAGAGAGAAAGAGATAGAGAGGGAGAGAGATGGCTCCAGCGCTCTAATTGCAGAGTGAATGAGGCAGCCCCAGAGAATGGCTGATTAGGAGGGCTGCTGAAAACCCCAGGGAAATGGGTCACCTCCAGTTTGGTGCGAGCCACTTCTCCAGCGCAGCGCAGGGTGAAAAGTCAATTACACGCCACAGGCAGTGGGGCCTGGTAGGACACTGGGAGGCAGGGGGGCTGTGGTGGGTACTGGGTACGGTACAGGAGGGGGTAGAGGGTGGGACGAGGAGGGGGTAAGAGGGTGGGACGGGGAGGGGAGGGGAGGGGAGGGGAGGGGAGGGGACGATGTCGCGACTCCAGAGAGATCTACAATGAGTGTAAGTAAACGTTGATGGAGTTGTGGTCCACCTCTTTCTCTCCGAGTTTTCTTTCTCAATTAACATTCTGCCCACTTCCATTTGCCAAGGGTTGTGACCAATGTTCCCTCTAATATTTTTCGGCACTGAGCAAATTTCTGGTCTGCTGAGTGCAAACTTGAACTTGAAATTTCTGTGCAACTTACTGCGAGCATTTATTGTGAACACTGTGGCTGTACCCGCTTTAATTTACTGTTTTGGTGGCCAAGTAGGCTACTGTGGCTATTTGATCATAATGTAGGCCTACCAGAGTGGCCTACCATAAAAAACGTAACTTAACATGGAAATTGCGGTTCTATCATTCAGCCTACAGTAGCAGCCAATGTGTGGTGTTCAATATAGGCCTACATTCCAAAAAAACATGCAGGGCTTGACATTAACCTGTTTATCCACTTGTCCTTCAGACAAGGAGATGACTGAACATTTTGTTGTTGTTTGATGCAAGAAACCACTTTACAAAATAAAATGCATTATTATTCCCATTATGCTAACCTATTGGTTACAAGCTTATTCAATCCTATCTCAAAATACAACACTGCCACTTTAAGACATAAAAAAAAGCTCTTTACCTGATTTGCTTTTCAAAGATGGCTAGAAATGCTCTTGTAGGAAGCAATCACTCCCACATTGCTGAATACAGATGAGCTATAACTGGGCTATAACTCACTAACTAGCAAAGAATATGAACAAATGTGCACAAGTGGCTTCATGCAGCTCTTGCTTTGATCTCAAAACAAGCGCATCTACTATTGACGCTCATGCTGTAAAACAGTCTAGTTCAAAGTGAATGGCACAAATCCATATATGGCAATGGTTTATTTGCATATACTGTTGGTCTACTGCAGCTCTGAGTGGTTATGGCGCACCAGTCTGTGTAGAGTACAGCCCTGAGTCGTGCCTGTCAATGCAATAGAATCCTACTCAGATGCGCTCTGCCTACAACTAAATCTCTTGCATAGTTTGTTTTGTTTTGGTATGTTGCATTGAAAGTGGCTAATATTGCGTTGATTCGATCACAATTCCCACAGTAAAAGGAAACGTTGATAGTGTTAACTAATGGGGAAAACTCTAGTAAGTTGAGTGAAGTTCAATCTGGTGCTTCTCTGCGCGGGCTGATATTTCTTCTGCGCGGCAGTCCCTGGGGAGCTGTGGGCAGCTTAGAGGGAACATTGGTTGTGACTCACCAAGGCTAAGAGAGCTCCACCTCCCTGAACTGCTCTCCAGCATACCAACCAACCAAGTAACCAGCCAGTCTACCAGCTAGTAGCCTAATGGTCCCATAGTACCTACATGAAATCCAACTTCATTCAACTTCACATCCTGCAAGCCAAAAAATTAGAAAATAGTAAAATATGGCATGGAATACATTGATGTACAGCAGCCACAAACTGTTAGGGTATTGATGCAGTTTAGAGACGACATGTTTATGCAGATCAAAAGAGAGAAGAACAGACCGAGAAATACGAGAGACAGACAGACAGAGAAAGGATGCCCAGGGACAGTGTTGGAGATGCAGTCAACATTGTAATAGCACGGCTGTGTGTGCGTGTGTTTGTGGTATGTGTGTGCGTTGAGAAAATTTGCATGAATTATTTAGGGTGGAGGATGGGAACCAAACGAACAGCTCTCTAATGACTGATGATGCTTGTGTGTTTGAGAGCCATTAGGCAGCTGTTTACAGGCATGACGCTATGCAGGCAGAGGAGGAAGGGATGGGGGAGGGGGCGGGAGAGAGAGAGTAGTGTGTGTCGTGTGCATAGGTAGGTCTGAGTGAACCTTGATCATGTGTCTGTGTATGGGAGCCAAAACGTATTACTGTTTACCCAACCCATGGTATGACACTTAGCAATGAGGACTTTGTACTGAGGGACATTCTCTGACTTTCCACTCAATCAGATCCGTAACATTAGTTGTGTGTGTGTGTGTGTGTGTGTGTGTGTGTGTGTAAGGTAGCACAACAAGTTCAGTCAGAAACAACAACAGAGAAATAGAGAGAGACTATCTCAGTTCTGACTCAAAACAAAACAGCCTCAAACCAGCCTCCCACGATAACATGAGTCATATAAAGAATGCCCCAGTGCAACAAACAAACAAGTGTCTAGAATGGCTTACTGGGCAGAGACAGACAGACAGACAGACAACACACTGAGGCAGAAAATGAATAATAGAAACTAAACTATATATGGAGATTTCTCTTGGCCCGTCTACATTTATGTCTCAACAGTGTCCGACTGATCTCTGTGACTTGATACTGTAATGAGGTATATCTGTACTATACTATATCTGTACTAAAAAGCACTATCAGGTTTTTTTTTATGGAGTCAAGCACTCCACTGATACCACCCATTTTGAACGCATTTCACCAGGAGAAGCACACCATCAATGACCTACCTACCTACACTACTGGTTTACAGGATTTCACTGCAAAAAGTGGGGCTACAGTACATTACCTTTTTAGAGTTCAATTGAGTCTTATCGATATAATCTGAGTTCTGAGTGAAAATGAGAGCCAGTTAACGCAGAGGGACCTGAGCATGGCAACAAGGAGAGGGTTAATAATGGCCGCTGGTTCCCTGTCCCTTTAACAACTAGCCTAACGCTGGGAGAGACAAACAGACGAGACAGACTGAGGCTTCCTTGTTTCAGATAAGTGTCTCTCTTCTCGTTGTTTTTCAGGTGCGAGAGGGGGTGGGCAGGGGGCGGGGCGGTGGTTTGTGGTGAGCGGGGGCAGGGAGTTGTGAGGCTAGGTGATACAGACAGAGACAGACTGCCCCGGTTTCATAATCTCTGTTGACAAAACAGAAGAGCAGCGCGGCCCGGCCAGATCATGTAAACTCCCAGTAGGAACACAAGACAGACCTGCAGTCTACAGTCATGCTGACGTTTAGCTCACTGCTCTGACAATGACTGGCTGTAGTCAGGTTGGTGTCATCCACTGTAATTAGCCCATTCTGGGACAAAGTTAGGAAAAATACACAATCAATAAATAATGCATTGGGTCGATACTAGAGAATGGTTGATATACAGGACTGACTGAGGCATCATGGGTAGAGGAGTCTTCATGCTGATCTAAGTCATTGTGACACGATGCGGCAGAATCCCAGACTCACCTGCAGATCCCCCACTCCTCTCCTCTACCCTCTCCTTTCCATAACCATCCTTCCCTCCTCCCTATCCCCCTCCTCTCCTCTAAATAACATCATTCTCTCCTCCCCTGATCTACTCATCTCCTCCCCTCCTCTCTCTATACCACCTCTTTACTATAGGCATAATCTCACTCAACCCCACCTCTTCCTATACCACCACTATCCCTCTCTTCTCCATAATCATCCTTCCCCCGCCTCCCCTCCACCTGTGTGTGTGTGTGTGTGTGTGTGTGTGTGTGTGTGTGTGTGTGTGTGTGTGTGTGTGTGTGTGTGTGTGTGTGTGTGTGTGTGTGTGTGTGTGTTCGTGTTGCTGTCACCTACAGATAAATGCTTTGTTTCTGTCTCTATGGCAGGCAGAGCAGGGGGAATAATTTGATTTCTCCTGCTGTCTCCCCAGCAGCCTCTTTCTCGCTCGCTCTCCACCTTTCCATCTCAGCCTCTCTCAACTCCCTCTCTCTCTACCTCTAAATCTGCTCTCCCTCGCTCTTCCCTCTTTACCTCTCTACCCACTACATCTCTCACCCCCTGCATTCTCTTGCTTAAACCTGTACCATCGAAATTCAATATGACAAATTCAAAATGTCTCTCAAAGCAATGGACCTTCGCTCGAAATGACCATGTCTGTTATAGTTGCTCAATTTCTATGGTCTGACCAGGGGGGTCAGAAATAATGTTGTGTTCCAGAACAGATGAGCAAAAAGAAAACATTTGTTCCACAACAGATGAGCAAAAAGTAAAAAAGAGATCCTACTCCATTTTAACTCTGTCTACAACACATTATAGTCCACCAAAACAGGTAACCATACCAACAACCGTGTGATGACATGTGACCCACCTTGTGACGGAGCCTGGAGTGGATGAGACAATTTCTCTCCTGGAGATAATGGTGCTGGACTGGTCTACTGGTCTTCTACCCTGGAGTCTATAGAACACACAGACACAGACACAGACACAGACACACACAGAGAACGATAATAAGCACTTCTGCTGGACATTGCATATTCGTTATATTCATATTGGTGAATAACAGGGCTTGGTATTAATCAAGTTGTTAATGACAGCCCAGGAAAGAGCATTAACATGAAGAGCAGAAGACATGAGGGAGGCTGCCTGGGTCTGGGTCTGAGAACAGGGACATTTCACTGTATGTTTTCAGTTAGAGAACGTGCACATGCTAATGTACGTACACACACACACAACATCCTTATTCTGAAAAAGGATGTTGTGATATGAGTTGGACAGGAAGTCCAGAAGTATTAGAGCTAGACTATGACATGTTGACTAGACCGGCCATGCGCATGTCCGCGTGTGCCATCGCGTGCATGTTGATTTTGTCCAGCCACACCAGACGTGATCATGACACGCAGGTTAAAATATCAAAACCAACTGTGAACTAACTTTCTTAATTTGGGGACAGGTCGAAACACACATGAAACTAGGGCTGACCCCATTTTGCCGACTGTTGGTTTGGTCGATAGGCTGTTGGTCGACCGGTCGAGCAGTGGCAAATATACACTACCGTTCAAAAGTTTGGGGTCACTTAGAAATGTCCTTGTTTTCCTTGAAAACATACAGTTGAAGTCGGAAGTTTACATACACCTTAGCCAAATACATTTAAACTCAGTTTTTCACAATTCCTGACATTTAATCCTAGTAAAAATTCCCTGTCTTAGGTCAGTTAGGATCACCACTTTATTTTAAGAATGTGAAATGTCAGAATAATAGTAGAGAGAATGATTTATTTAAGCTTTTATTTATTTCATCACATTCCCAGTGGGTCAGACGTTTACATACACTCAATTAGTATTTGGTAGCATTGCCTTTAAATGGTTTAACTTGGGTCAAACGTTTCGGGTAGCCTTCCACAAACTTCCCACAATAAGTTGGGTGAATTTTGGCCCATTCCTCCTGACAGAGCTGGTGTAACTGAGTCAGGTTTGTAGGCCTCCTTGCTTGCACACACTTTTTCAGTTCTGCCCACACATTTTCTATAGGATTGAGGTCAGGGCTTTGTGATGGCCACTCCAATACCTTGACTTTGTTGTCCTTAAGCCATTTTGCCACAACTTTGGAAGTATGCTTGGGGTCATTGTCCATTTGGAAGACCCATTTGCGACCAAGCTTTAACTTCCTGACTGATGTCTTGAGATGTTGCTTCAATATATCCACATAATTTTCCTTCCTCATGATGCCATCTATTTTGTGAAGTGCACCAGTCCCTCCTGCAGCAAAGCATCCCCACAGCATGATGCTGCCACCCCCGTGCTTCACGGTTGGGATGGTGTTCTTCGGCTTGCAAGATACCCCCTTTTTCCTCCAAACATAACGATGGCCATTATGGCCAAACAGTTATATTTTTGTTTCATCAGACCAGAGGACATTTCTCAAAAAAGTACAATCTTTGTCCCCATGTGCAGTTGCAAACCGTAGTGTGGCTTTTTTATGGCGGTTTTGGAGCAGTGGCTTCTTCCTTGCTGAGCGGCCTTTCAGGTTATGTCGATATAGGACTCGTTTTACTGTGGATATAGATACCTTTGTACCTGCATCTTCACAAGGTCCTTTGCTGTTGTTCTGGGATTGATTTGCACTTTTCGCACCAAAGTACGTTCATCTCTAGGAGACAGAACGCGTCTCCTTCCTGAGCGGTATGACGGCTGCGTGGTCCCATGGTGTTTATACTTGCGTACTATTGTTTATACAGATGAACGTGGTACCTTCAGGCGTTTGGAAATTGCTCCCAAGGATGAACCAGACTTGTGGAGGTCTACAATTATTTTTCTGAGGTCTTGGCTGATTTATTTTGATTTTCCCATCATGTCAAGCAAAGAGGTACTGAGTTTGAAGGTAGTCCTTGAAATACATCCACATGTACACCTCCAATTGACTCAAATTATGTCAATTAGCCTATCAGAAGCTTCTAAAGCCATGACATCATTTTCTGGAATTTTCCAAGCTGTTTAAAGGCACAGTCAACTTAGTGTCTGTAAACTTCTGACCCACTAGAATTGTGATACTGTGAATTATAAGTGAAATAATCTGTCTGTAAACAATTGTTGGAAGAATTACTTGTGTCATGCACAAAGTGGATGTCCTAACCGACTTTCCAAAACTATAGTTTGTTAACAAGAAATTTGTGGAGTGGTTGAAAAACGAGTTTTAATGACTCCAACCTAAGTGTATGTAAACTTCCGACTTCAACTGTACATTCAATTAATTTGAATTGGAAATATAGCAAAAATGAATAGGAAATGTAGTCATTGACAAGGTTAGAAATAATGATTTTTAATAGAAATAATAATTGTGTCCTTCAAACTTTGCTTTCGTCAAAGAATCCTCCATTTGCAGCAATTACAGCCTTGCAGACCTTTGGCATTCTAGTTGTCAATTTGTTGAGGTAATCTGAAGAGATTTCACCCCATGCTTCCTGAAGCACCTCCAACAAATTGGTTTGGCTTGATGGGCACTTCTTACGTACCATACGGTCAAGCTGCTCCCACAACAGCTCAATAGGGTTGAGATCCGGTGACTGTGCTGGCCACTCCATTATAGACAGAATACCAGCTGACTGCTTCTTCCCTAAATAGTTATTGCATTGTTTGGAGCTGTGCTTTGGGTCATTGTCCTGTTGTAGGAAGAAACAAGCTCTAATCAAGCGCCATCCACAGGGTATGGCATGGCGTTGCAAAATGGAATGATTCAAGATCCCTTTTACCCTGTAAAAATCTCCCACTTTACCACCACCAAAGCACCCCCAGACCATCACATTGCCTCCAACATGCTTGACAGATGGCATCAAGCACTCCTCCAGCATCTTTTCATTCAAATGTTATTCTTTGTGATCCGAACACCTCAAACTTCGATTCGTCTGTCCATAACACCTTCTTCCAATCTTCCTCTGTCCAGTGTCTGTGTTCTTTTGCCCATCTTAATCTTTTATTTTTATTGGCCAGTCTGAGATATGGCTTTTTCTTTGCAACTCTGCCTAGAAGGTCAGCATCCCGGAGTCGCCTCTTCACTGTTGACGTTGAGACTGGTGTTTTGTGGGTACTATTTAATGAAGCTGCCAGTTGAGGACCTGTGAGGCGTCTGTTTCTAAAACTAGACACTAATGTATTTTTCCTCTTGCTCAGTTGTGCACCGGGGCCTCCCACTCCTCTTTCTATTCTGGTTAGAGACAGTTTGCGCTGTTCTGTGAAGGGAGTAGTACACAGTGTTGTACGAGATTTTCAGTTTCTTGGCAATTTCTTGCATGGAATAGCCTTCATTTCTCAGAACAAGAATAGACTCACGAGTTTCAGAAGAAAGTTATTTGTTTCTGGCCATTTTGAGCCTGTAATCGAACCCATAATTGCTGATGCTCCAGATACTCAACTAGTCTCAAGAAGGCCAGTTTTCGGCTGTGCTAACATAATTGCAAAAGGGTTTTCTAATGATCAATTAGCCTTTTAAAATGATAAACTTGGATTAGCAAACACAACGTGCCATTGGAACACAGGACTGATGGTTGCTGATAATGGGCCTCTGTACGCCTATGTAGATATTCCATTAAAAATCAGCCGTTTCCAGCTACAATAGCCATTTACAACATTAACAATGTCTACACTGTATTTCTGATCAATTTGATGTTATTTTAATGGACAAAAAAATTGCTTTTCTTTCGAAAACAAGGACATTTCTAAGTGACCCCAAACTTTTGAACGGTAGTGTATACAGTGGGGAGAACAAGTATTTGATACACTGCCGATTTTGCAGGTTTTCCTACTTACAAAGCATGTAGAGGTCTGTAATTGTTATCATAGGTACACTTCCACTGTGAGAGACGGAATCTAAAACAAAAATCCAGAAAATCACATTGTATGATTTTAAGTAATTAATTTGCATTTTATTGCATGACATAAGTATTTGATAAATCAGAAAAGCAGAACTTAATATTTGGTACAGAAACCTTTGTTTGCAATTACAGAGATCATACGTTTCCTGTAGGTCTTGACCAGGTTTGCACACACTGCAGCAGGGATTTTGGCCCACTCCTCCATACAGACCTTCTCCAGATCCTTCAGGTTTCGGGGCTGTCGCTGGGCAATACGGACTTTCAGCTCCCTCCAAATATTTTCTATTGGGTTCAGGTCTGGAGACTGGCTAGGCCACTCCAGGACCTTGAGATGCTTCTTACAGAGCCACTCCTTAGTTGCCCTGGCTGTGTGTTTCGGGTCGTTGTCATGCTGGAAGACTCAGCCACGACCCATCTTCAATGCTCTTACTGAGGGAAGGATCTCGCGATACATGGCCCCATCCATCCTCCCCTCAATACGGTGCAGTTGTCCTGTCCCCTTTGCAGAAAAGCATCCCCAAATAATGATGTTTCCACCTCCATACTTCACGGTTGGGATGGTGTTCTTGGGGTTGTACTCATCCTTCTTCTTCCTCCAAACACGGCGAGTGGAGTTTAGACCAAAAAGCTATATTTTTGTCTCATCAGACCACATGACCTTCTCCCATTCCTCCTCTGGATCATCCAGATGGTCATTGGCAAACTTCAGACGGGCCTGGACATGCGCTGGCTTGAGCAAGGGGACCTTGCATGCGCTGCAGGATTTTAATCCATGACGGCGTAGTGTGTTACTAATGGTTTTCTTTGAGACTGTGGTCCCAGCTCTTTTCAGGTCATTGACCAGGTCCTGCCGTGTAGTTCTGGGCTGATCCCTCACCTTCCTCATGATCATTGATGCCCCACGAGGTGAGATCTTGCATGGAGCCCCAGACCGAGGGTGATTGACCGTCATCTTGAACTTCTTCCATTTTCTAATAATTGCGCCAACAGTTGTTGCCTTCTCACCAAGCTGCTTGCCTATTGTCCTGTAGCCCATCCCAGCCTTGTGCAGGTCTAAAATGTTATCCCTGATGTCCTTACACAGCTCTCTAGTCTCCCGAGTGGCGCAGTGGTCTAAGGCACTGCCTCGCAGTGCTAGCTGTGCCACTAGAGATCCTGGTTTGAATCCAGGCTCTGTCGTAGCCGGCCGTGACCGGGAGACCCATGGGGCGGCGCACAATTGGCCCAGCGTCGTCTAGGGTAGGGGAGGGAATGGCCGGCAGGGGATGTAGCTCAGTTTGTAGAGCATGGCGTTTGCAACGCCAGGGTTGTGGGTTCGATTCCCACGGGGGGTATGAAAAATAAATTTAAAAAAATAAATAATAATAATAATAATGTATGCACTAACTGTAAGTCGCTCTGGATAAGAGAGTCTGCTAAATGACTTAAAATGTCTTGGCCATTGTGGAGAGGTTGGAGTCTGTTTGATTGAGTGTGTGGACAGGTGTCTTTTATACAGGTAACGAGTTCAAACAGGTGCAGTTAATACAGGTAATGAGTGGAGAACAGGAGGGCTTCTTAAAGAAAAACTAACAGGTCTGTGAGAGCCGGAATTCTTACTGGTTGGTAGGTGATCAAATACTTTGCTTAAAAATCATACAATGTGATTTTCTGGATTTTTTTTAGATTCTGTCTCTCACAGTTGAAGTGCACCTATGATAAAAATTACAGACCTCTACATGCTTTGTAAGTAGGAAAACCTGCAAAATCGGCAGTGTATCAAATACTTGTTCTCCACACTGTATATAAAGAAGACAATAGCTGGAATAATTTAATAGCAATAGCTTGTAGTGAATGTGTACAGTAGTGTATTAAAAAAAATTATGGTACATTCACGACTGTCTGAGTGGACTAATCCATTGCGGAGGCCGCGGGGATTGCACATCAGTATCACCAGTAGTACATTTACTGTTAATTCCCATAATTTCTAATCTATGTTTGTTTGGTTATGGTCATTTCTGTTAATGCATTCAATATATTCCTTTTACAGTCTAACCGTTGTCATTGTAGGAGTGGACACGTTGTTTACATTTGGTTTATTTAATTTTGTTTGGAGTGCTCCTGTCAAGCTTGAGTAAGGACACACACTTGATTACACATAGAAGTAGGCCTATAAATGTGCCCATTTGGGGATTAGATAGTATTTCTGATTGTCTTAACTCACCATCACCGTGGAGCTTCTCAAAGTAATTTGTTCTTCGCCTCTAACAGTAAGTAAACAGTCTGTTTTTACATCCTTTGAGAATGACAATAGTTCTTCAATGTAGCCTATTTGGAAAAAAAATCCAGCTCTCTCCCTTTCGATAACCACTCAGCATGAAAGGGGGGAAAAAATGTCATGCTCTGGTCGGTGGAAACGTCATAAAATAGGCCTACCTAATTACTTCTTATCCCTTGCGTTAATAGCCTACAGTTTTGTCTGTCTGGCGCTCACTTGCACAGGAAACTCTGAGGGCCCAGAATATAATAATAATAATAATATTTTATACAATGTTGCAAGTTTGCTAGCAGGAGCTTAGTGTTGACCAAGTTAATAGTTGATACAATGTTTCAAATTCCTTGCAGACAGGCCATGCATAGCCAATATGATTTATATGATATTTATTTTTTAATCAGAATGTTTTTCTACCTGCGGGCTGCAATGGAGATAATGTCTAGATGCTTTTTACAGTGGAGATCAAGTTTAAAAATTGTCTGGGTGGGCTGATGAGACAGTGGATTGTGCAGTGCGATGGAACAGAGTAAATAGGCATTTCAACGTCTTGCTTTAGCCGGTGGTAACTTGTGGAATAGACACCGGCTGGAATGCAGTTTTAACCAATCAGCGTCCAGAATTAGACCCACCCGTTGTATAAAGGCTAAATAATAATTTGTTTTATCCGATTGTTGTTTACTTTTATATAAATGCACAATTTGTTTGCTATTCAAAATAAAGTTGTTTGTGAAACAACTCTGACACCGACTCATCATTAATTTTTTTTATGTTCCTGCTTATTGAAAGTGCTGCTGTGGAAGCTTTTGCCCGATTGCCCGTTGCGCAATTCAATGACATTAATAAACACTTTGACAATATTATAAATATTAGTTTATAAGTTTAACTTGTCAAAGTAACATTTACTGCAACTTTTATTGACAGTAGCCTATATGTAGTCCTATTTTACTGGCTGTTTGGGTTGCAAGAAGGGATTTTTCGAAGGCACAATTTATTTTGCCTACATTTTGGTCAAGTAAAGCATAAACGTGCCACGTTTGTTTATACTTTGTATTCGATTAGTGCATCTTGCAATTGTTTGTTCTCTCTCTCTATTCGCAAATAACATTCTGAGATGGGACTCTGTTAGATCTATAGATTCATTCGATGGTTGATCATGAAAGAGTAGGCTATGCCTAGGCGAACAAGTCACATTCAAATCAAATGGGGATTAGGGAAAAGAAGGGGAAATTAAGATTTTAAAACAGTAAGACAGGCAATGGAGTGTCCGCTGCAAAAGACCCATGATCATCCGACATTGGAGAGGAGGGGAAAAAAACACGTTAGGCCTCATCGGACACTTTGCGCTGCTTTGGTGCTCTCTGCTCTTTCTACAATCTACATTGTCCTCTTGCATTAGGTTAATAGTCTAACCACCACAAATGTATTGAAAATGTACGCAATGGCAATTAGGGAATAGTCCATTTGTCATGTCGTCCTGCTGTGTGCTCACTGCGCTGCGCTTTTGTGTACTGCCAGACTCCGGCGGTGCAGTCAAGTTCAAATATACTAAACCATCGTTTGTGTCATCACGATGTCGTCACCATCGACGATGGCTGTCAAACATCGTTGATAGACGATGCAATCGTAAAATCGGCCAACCCTAGAGTGTACGTGTGTGCGTATGTATGTGAGCGCGTGCCTGTGTGATTGTATGTGTGTGTGTGTGTTTGTGAGCGCGTGCCTGTGTGATTGTATGTGTGTGTGTGTGTGTGAGCGCGTGCCTGTGTGCCATGCATCATCCAGCCTGACCGTTGGCTGCACCCCCGTGATGAGGACCAGATGGGGGCTGTCAAGGGGTCGCTAGTTTGGGTGATGTATGGGCCCTCACAAACCAACAAAGGCCCTCCTTCAGCCGATGTGTTTCCTACTAATTGAGATGGGAGAAAGAGAGAAAAAGAGCGAGAGAAAGAGCGATTGCTTAAACAGAGTGGATTTATAGCATGTCCGTGACAAGGGGGAACTTCCAGTGAGTGTTTAAGGGGTGGGGCCAGAAAGGGGACAGATAGGCCTTCAGTGGGATCATTAATGCATCATTGTGCTCGAATTAGCAAAGCCATAAAGAACAGTGCTAATAATGCTAGTTAACTGCATGTGGTGCTTGTATAAACATTAGGCCTTGAATATTAGAGCACTGAGAATGAGGTTAAGATGCGTTGAGTATGTGTGTTCAACTCACAGGCACCGAGGCACGCTCTCGCCGAGGCCTGTTCCAGTCCCTCTCTCCTGCCCTCATCTCCTCTTCTCTACACTCTCTGTTTAGCTCGCGCTACTCCTCAATTACACCTTGCAGAAAAAAGAGCCTTTGATTTAACTATAAAACAGACTGTGTGTGCGCGCGTATGTGCATGAAGCCGCCGCAGCAGCATATAACCAGACAAATCACTAAATTATTCACATCATCTCACCTTGGTCTCGTTAAACAAACACCATTAAAGTCCAAAGTGATTTGAAGACAGATCAATTATTGTTCCCCTCAATAATGACAGTCTTTATTTCCAGTGGGTCTGCCTGTCATCCACGTCTGGCCTCAACAACACACCCCAAGGCTCAACTAAATAATGGAGAGAATGTGGAAGAGGAGGGAAAGAGGAGAGAGTGATGACTTGGATCTCAGACTGGGACTGAGGGGAAATCTGGAGAGTCAATTGGAGAGTCAGACAGTAAGTGGCAGGCAGGCTACAGATGCAACAGGAAAGCATAGTCTGTCTGCCTGTCTGTCCCTGGAAAGGAGCCAGTGGTAGAATGGGGAGATCAGTCTCAGTCAATGGAAGTCTATGTGCTGTTTACACCTGGGGAGTCTTTCTGGTGTCAGGGAGCTACAGTGCGTATGGAGAGCGAAAGGTGAAGCCTGTGGCATGAAGTCGCATAACGGCAGGCAGGCAGCAGACACACCCTCATTCAAAACACATTCATACCATAACAGCCACTCTGGTCAATGCAACTGCAGCTTTAGGGCAGAGCACATTTGTGTAGAGCGCAAACTACATAGGAAGAGGGGGCAATGATACTCTAGCACATACAGTAACAAACTCACCCATTCTGTCTTTCTGCTAACTCACTGTTTGTTCCTTTTTCTCATTTGCCTTCTACCTCTTTCACAGTATTTTTTCCCTGTTCCACTGTCCATCCTTCCCTTTCTGCATTTATCTCTTTCTTCTCTCCTACTCGCCATCTTGTGTCTGTCTTTTATAGTGGAACTCTGTCTTTTTCTCTTTTTGTCAGTCTTTTTGTGTTCTCTCTGTGTTCTGGCCCAGAATAAGGGAGACAGTGTCTGCATCAGCCAGCACACACAAACAGCCCAGTACAGCTACAGTGTGTGTGTGAGTTCTCTGGGTGACTCTTCTTTAGCGGAGCCCCAGTCCCCTCCAACAGAACCGGCACTTACACACTAGCAGAATAGGAACCAAGCCACATCTTGGCACCTCGCCTCCACTTAAAAAAATCACACCACAGAGGCTAATAAAAAAAATGTATCCACAGCCCAGCTCAGCTCCACAAAAGCATTCTTAAAATCAATGCTCTCCCCCGTTCATAAAAAAAAGGAGCTTGTACAAAACGGACCACTGACTCTCAATTCACCACACGAGACGCGGGTGACTGTCTCCATGGTACTGTGTCCCTAATCCCGGCCAATCAGAAAGGGAGTAGCAACATTTGGCGAGACAGTTAGTGCCTTCATTGGATGCTTTCCTTGAGAAGCCTATTCAGTGAGAACAAATGAACACTGCAGAGAGCAAATATTTGGTTCTGACTCTAACTCCAGAAGAGCCACTCCTCAGAGAAAGAGCAGGGGGAGATAAAAGGGACTCAAAACTGGTCCCAGATCTGTATGCGCCTTAGTCAACTTCTCTGACCGTCGTTGCTATGCCATAAGATCTGATCTAGGACCTGGTTAAAATAACTCCTCTCTCCCAGGCGGTCCTGAGAACAGAAATAACTCTGCTAGCAGGCAGCAACCCAGGGTGTCTACTGTGGCTGCCATCAACCATCAATTTACACTGCATTTGGAAAGTATTCCGACCCCTTGACTTTTTCCAACTTTTGATACTTTACACCCTTATTCTAAAATGGATTGTTTCCCCCCCCCTCATCAATCTACACACAATACCCCATAATGACAAAGTAGAAACAGGTCTTTAGAAATGTTAATAAAAAACATTTACATAAATATTCAGACCCTTTACTCAGTACTTTGTTGAAGCAACATTGGCAGCGATTACAAGCTTGGCACACCTGTATTTGGGGAGTTTCTCCCATTCTTCTCTGCAGATCCTCTCAAGCTCTGTCAGGTTGGATGGGGAGCGTCGCTGCACAGCTATTTTCAGGTCTCTCCAGAGATGTTCGATCGGGTTCAAGTCCGGGCTCTGGCTGGGCCACAAGGACATTCAGAGACTTGTCCTGAAGCAACTCCTGTGTTGTCTTGGCTGTGTGCTTAGGGTCGTTGTCCTGTTGGAAGGTGAACCATCGCCCCAGTCGGAGGTCCTGAGCACTCTGGAGCAGGTTTTCATCAAGGATCTCTCTGTACTTTGCTCCATTCAGCTTTCCCTCTATCCTGACTAGTCTCCCAGGCCATGTTGCTGAAAAACATCCACACAGCATGATGCTGCCACCACCATGCTTCACCGTAGGTGCCAGGTTTCCTCCAGACGTGACGCTTGGCATTCGGGCCAAAGAGTTCAATCTTGGTTTCATCAGACCAGAGAATCTTGTTTCTCATGGTCTGAGAGTCCTTTAGGTGCCTTTTGGCAAACTCCAAGCGGGCTGTCATGTGCCTTTTACTGAAGAGGGGCTTCCGTCTGGCCACTCTACCATAAAGGCCTGATTGTGGAGTGCTGCAGAGATGGTTGTCCTTCTGGAAGGTTCTCCCATCTCCACAGATGAACTCTGGAGCTCTGTCAGAGTGACCATCGGGTTCTTGGTCACCTCCCTGACCAAGGCCCTTCTCCCCCGATTGCTCAGTTTGGCTGGGCGGCCAGCTCTACGAAGAGTCTTGGTGGTTCCAAACTTCTTCCATTTAAGAATGATGGAGGCCACTGTGTTCTTCGGGACCTTCAATGCTGCGGAATTATTTTGTACCCTTCCCCAGATCTGTTCCAAATCATGTCCAATCAATTGAATTTACAACATATGGACTCCAATCAAGTTGTAGAAACATCTCAAGGATGATCAATAGAAACAGGATACACCGGAGCTCAATTTCGAGTCTCATCGCAAAGGGTCTGAATACTTATGTAAATAAGGTATTTCTGTTATTATCTTTGTATATATACCCCACCAGTCAAAAGTTTGGACACACAGACTCATTCAAGGGTTCTTCTTTATTTTTTACTATATTTCACATTGTAGAATAATAGTGAAGACATCGAAACTATGAAATAACACATATGGAATCATGTAGTAACCAAAAAAGTGTTAAACAAATCAAAATATATTTTATATTTGAGATTCTTCAAATAGCCACCCTTTGCCTTGATGACAGCTTTGCACAATCTTGGCATTCTCTCAACCTGACTGCCTCATGAAGCTGGTTGAGAGAATGCCAAGAGTGTGCAAAGCTGTCATCAAGGCAAAGGGTGGCTATTTGAAGAATCTCAAATATAAAATATATTTGGATTTGTTTAACACTTTTTTGGTTACTACATGATTCTATATGTGTTATTTCATAGTTTTTATATCTTCACTATTATTCTACAATGTAGAAAATAGTAAAAAATAAAGAAAAACCCTGGAATTAGTAGGTGTGTCCAAACTTTTGACTGGTACTGTATATTTTGCTTTTTCTCCCCAATTTCGATCTCTGCAACTCCCCAATGGGCTTGGGAGGCGAAGGTCGAGTTATGCGTCCTCTGAAACATGACCCGCCTAACCGCGCTTCTTAACACCCGCCCCCTTAACCCGGAAGCCAGCCGCACCAATGTGTCGGAAGAAACACTGACACTGACGACCCTAACCCAGACGACGCTGGGCCAAATTGTGCACCGCCCTATGGGACTCCCGATCACGGACGGTTGTAATACAGCCCAAGATCGAACCCGGGTCTGTAGTGACGCCTCTAGCACTGCGATGCAGTGCTTTAGACCGCTGCGCCACTCGGGAGGCTACTGTTATACATTTTTTATACATTTGCAAAAATGTCTAAAAACCTGTTTTCACTTTGTCATTATGGGGTATTGTGTGTAGATTGATCAGGAAAAAATGTAATTTAATCAATTTTAGAATAAGGCTGTAACATAACAAAAAATAATCTGAATGCACTGTACATATTCAAAAAAAATGCCCTAACCCTTCCAAGAACATACAGTACCTACTGCAACTCCAACAACCCTAACCCTTCCAAGAACATACAGTACCTACTGCAACTCCAACAGCCCTAACCCTTCCAAGAACATACAGTACCTACTGCAACTCCAACAGCCCTAACCCTTCCAAGAACATACAGTACCTACTGCAACTCCAACAGCCCTAACCCTTCCAAGAACATACAGTACCTACTGCAACTCCAACAGCCCTAACCTAACTCAACAGTCAAGTTTTTTTATACAGTGGGGTCCAAAACTATTAAACCCACCATTGGTGAGCTCTATTTCCATGTCATCTGACCATAGCACTGCCTGGAGTTTGCTGAACGGCATCATGATCTTTACCAAGTAACAGGACATTTTTGCCGAAAACCTGGTTGCCTAAAACTTGGCCGCAAGTGAATCTTCCAGCACATATCAAAATCCACAAAGAAATGGTTAATTGACCACAAAATCAACATTTCTCAATGGCCATCTCAGTCTCCGGACTTGAACCCCATTGAAAACATGTGGTTTGAATTGAAGAGGGCAGTCCATAAGCGCAGACAAAGGTTATCAAGGATCTGGAAAGATTCTGTATGGAGGAATGGTCTAAGATCCCTCCCAATGTGTTCTCCAATCTCATAAAACATTTAGGAAAAAGCCTCAGTGTCGTTATCCTTGCAAGCGGAGGGTGATGTATTGAGATTTTCTTGTATTACTTTTTAAACAAAATCTCTTTCTCTGAGCAATTGTATTAATATAACATAATATAATATATAAATGTTTTGAGCATACTATATAGATCAGTATTTGCATTATTTATTGTATAGTCTTTTTTGCTCATCTTTATCAAGGGATCCAAAAATGTTGGACCCCACTGTATATACAGAGAAGACTCCAAGCGTATCTATCAGTCCTAAGTAGCAAAACAGTTTGGTAGTAGAAACTCTTCTGCAGAACTAGAGTAGTTTTGTAGTAAGATATAACTGTTGTCATCCTACACGCCAAAGCAAAAAGGTCTATACACAACAGGATAAGTAAGTAATTGAGCTAATCTACAATCCGATTGGCTAGTTTACCAGCCACCTTGGCTTCCCTATAATGGGCCAACTGGAGTTCAACTGGCACAAGAGTAGCTGAAGCCACTGACTGCGGTCCAAACTAATCCAGTGTGTAGAGTAGTGCAACAATAGAACTGCACTGAGCCAAACCTTAGGCTAGCCATGTGCTGAGCATTTGAATGTGCACAGTGCTGCTAGTGCCAACGCCTGCACTGTTACAAACTGAGGAAGGGGGGAGAGAGAGAGAGAGAGAGAGAGAGAGAGAGAGAGAGAGAGAGAGAGAGAGAGAGAGAGAGAGAGAGAGAGAGAGAGAGAGAGAGAGAGAGAGAGAGAGAGAGAGAGAGAGAGAGAGAGAGAGAGAGAGAGAGAGATAATAACTGTTGTAAGAAAGGACACATTCCAGTGTGTAATTTGGGACTGTCTGGCTGTAAAGTTGCTCAGGAGCCACAAGCAGAGCCGAGATAAGATAAGGAGGGTAAAAACACACACGTCCTCAGCTGTCACCTTCAGCTGAACCCTGAAGAACATCAACCGAGAGTGTGACGAGACACGTGTGGAGCTTGTGTGATATAACACACATCACCTTTATCACCTGGCTGGAGGTAAGAGACAGACACTTCTATATCATATCATAAACCAAAAGAAAGGGTTATCAAAAAACCAAGTTGAACTTCATGAGTCATGTATACATAATCCTTCCGAACACAATGTCTAAGTGTATTGTGTAGCAGGCCTACAGTAAAGCCTTGACCAGGCAACAGTGTTACACATGGCTTTCCTTTTGCCTGCACATTGAGGGATGGAAGGGAGAAGGTATGAAGAAAGAGGGAGTGGGAGACAGAAAGAGAGCGACTGAACGCTGTAATTTAGGGAGTAAGTTAACGATTTTCAAATGGAGAAAAAAAGGATAATGATATCCCTCCCTGGGAAAATTACCCAGTGTCCAAACATTCTGGTAGGCCTATTAATAATATAATTAAGCATATGCAGGCGGGCGGCTGTTTTATAGCTCCACGGGTGGTGTGTGTGTGCGCGGGCACACACACACACACACACACACACACACACACACACACACACACACACACACACACACACACACACACACACAGAGAGAAGGCTACTCAGACCTCATTAATGTAATAGGTCAATCAATAAGCCACCCCCACCCCCTAACCTTGCCTTGATGGTCCCTCTGCCCTCCATCCCTCTCTCTGTGTATTGTCTTTCTCTCTTATCTTCCACCTAACAGCTAAACCAAACCCAAGTCACAACAACTTTAAGAAATCCACCCTCCAAAATCACACCATTCCCCTACATTCCTTTTACACCTGAGTGAGACGTGAGAGAGAGCATCAGACAGCGTTGTGTAACATTGTTATTTCACTAGCTAAGCATAGTTGTGTCACTGATGAAACCACTTAGGATTTTCCACGATCCAAACTTTCTGAGAATGTGGGTTATTTAAAGAGCAGTGAGCTACACTATATCTTTCTAAAAGGATTAACAGAGCATCCTACCCTGCCTCTTACAGCCTAGCATCATCAAGTGATTAACTTTGACAACAGGACAAACACTGAAAGGTTGATATGCTACCATTGAATGTGATCTGACATGAGGATTCATGGTGAATGTGAAGCTGATCAGACGGGCAGTCTGCCTTTCCACAGACGAATAATCTGCTCCTGTTCACCCTTTGTCCTAACCCGGCAGCCTAACACACACATTCATCATAAAGACGTGGTTTACTTTCCTTAGATTAGAGAATTGAAATGTAAGATGAGGAAACCGGATACTGTTACTATCCAAATACAATAATAAGGCTCCTGATCTGTCAGTGAGATATCATGATATGTCCTGTTTATAACCACAGTCAGTTAAATGTTGGCTAAGGTCCCAAAAAAAGTTGGAACTCACAGTAAAGTTCAGAGAAAGAAAATGAGAGACAGAGCAAGACAGAAGGGTGGAACCGTAAGAGAGAAAAAAAGGGTTCAGGTTGGGTGAACCAGCTCTATTTTAAGCCATATCTGACGAACGTTGAGCGTATCAGATCAGCATACAGAACTCTGAGCCATCCGTTCAGAGACACTGGGTCCACCATATATAGCTTATGTAACTACACTGCATTTTTACATTTGAGTCATTTAGTAGACACTCTTTTCCAGATAAGAGCGACTTAAAGTAGTTAGTGCATACATTTTCGTACTGGTACCCCGTGGGAATCGAACCCACAACTCTGGCGTTGCAAGGGCCATGCTCTACCAACTGAGCCACACAGGACCTGCAATACAACAGTCATATGACATAGGTTGTTAGGAACAGATACTGTCCAGTCAACCAGTCAAGTGCACGTTAGTGCAAACTTTCAGTCCAACAGCTTCAATTGCTCCCGATAACTGTATTGTCCAGTTAAGTGCGCGGTGCACACTGACGACAGAACTACACAACGTTTGGGAACTAGTAATAGTACAATCCTAGAACTTCCTCCAGGTCCAATGCTTAATGCATGACCAGAGACATGGAGGTAATTGTATGCCACCCACAGCCAGAGTTGCTCAGGAGCCAGAGGACGTAAACTGGCTCACAATAACCATCACCAAGGACTTAGAGAGAGCACCGTCCCTCCCTCCTCTGGCAGGCCAGGGAGCAGATTCACCTTTACAAAAACATTCACATCCTCCCTATTTTCTCCACCATCAAAAAACTGCAAAGCACAGTCAAATAAAATGGAGAGAGAGAGGAAAAAGAGAGGGAGGTAGAGGAGGGTGTACATTGCAGATTCAGCTATCTACAGACGTAGGGCAGAAAGCCTTCAACAGCCTGACACACACACACACACACACACACACACACACACACAGGCATGCAAGAGGCGTACAGACACACAGTCAGGCGCGCGCACACAACAAACACTTTTCTCCTGGTGGAGCATCCAAATCACATTAGCTTCCTGCCTGCCATCCATCATTACCACAGACAAAAGCACACGCTGCTGGAGAGCCACAAAAACTGCATAGCAACCCGCAAAACCACACATAAGCGTGTACACACAGGCACACACACACTTTTGGAAAATTAATAGCCTATACATCAATACACACACACATCAAGAGAAAAGAACACACACCAATCTGTATTTAAAACACAAATAGCCCACATCTACCCTACCTGCATGCATTTGACTTTTCCCCAGCTCTACCATCTCAGCAGACACACATTAACATCAGAGAAAATAAACAATTCCATGACTGCACAATGGAAAGAAAAATATCATCTTGGCTTTAAATATTTAAACCCGGGCCGAGCTAAGCAAGGGGAGAGAGACATCTTGAGAAATATTTTTTTCTGTCGGTATTAATCTCCTTCCCATTAGAGGGGGGATGGGGCCCTTATCTAACAGGCTGTGTGTGTGTTTGTGTGCATGTGCAATATATGTTTGTGGGGGTGAGCCTTATCTCATGGGGGACACGTGTGTGTGCACACGTGTCGGTGGTGGGGGTGCTGCTTACCTAATGGGATGTGTGTGTTTGTGTTTGCTCCTTATCTAATGGGCTGTGAGGTAATTGGCTGGGAGAGGGGGAGCTGTAGAGAGGTGGAGGAGAGGAAAACAGTCTGGCAAGAGAGAGAGAGAAGAGTGTGAGAGCTTTATACGTTATGACCATATGGTGCCATTGTGCTGGGGGAACAGGAAGAGAAAATATCTCTCTGTCTGTGTCTGTGTGTGAATCCCAAACCACCCCCTCGCCCCTACCAACTTAATCGGTTGTCACATGTTGCTGATGAAACTCTGAGGGTGACTTCCAGAGAATGGCGAGGGGATCAATAAACCCATCAACTTCGGCATAGACTTCTGACTTGAATGATGCAATTCATGTACCACTTTTAAATAATAAAACAAGCATGAAATTCGAATTAACAAATCCCCCGTCGTTTTACAAGATATAAACCTCAGTAACAGTTAAACATTTAATTTGGGAGCTATTTAATCTTTTACATGTGTCAAGTCTCGAAATCTGACAAACAAATGCACGTGACATATAATTAGGCACGCCCCTCCATTCTTTTGTGTGAAATTGCACAAACTCAAAAATAACGCAGTGCCTTATGGGATTCCACTTCGCTCTGAAGCCGGCAGTGTTGCTGGCTCGGTCGAAGTTGTTATCGGGGGGGGGGGGGGGTCTAATTAGCTACACCCTCCATAATTTTCACTCCCTCAGCTTTGGGACACTTGTGCATATGGCGGAGGCGCGTGTAAACGTGCAAATGGAGGGCCGAGGGGCAAGGGGTTGATTTGGGATTCAGCCTCTCTCATTCTCTCCCTCCGTCTCTCAGATCTGCATCCCTTTTTGTTTCACTCTCCCTCTGTTTAACTCGACATTCCTCTCTGCCCACCAGTATTATTTTCTCCATTCGTCTCGCTCTTTCTCTTCATATTTCCCCCTCACCATCCTTTCCTCTCGTTTCCTCTATAGATACTATCTTCTCACCTGTAACCCTTTCCTCCTTTGGGCTCCCGAGTGGCGCAGCGGTCTAAGGCACTGCATCTCAGTGCTTGAGGCGTCACTACAGACCCCCTGGTTCGATTCCAGGCTGTATCACAACCGGCTGTGATTGGGAGTCCCATAGGGCGGTGCACAATTGGCCCAGCGTCGTCCGGGTTTGGCCGGTGTAGGCCGTCATTGTAAATAAGAATTTGTTCTTAACTGACTTGCCTAGTTAAATAAAAAACCAAATCCCATCCAGCTTGTGCCCCCTCCATCCTCTCTTCATCCCCCCTCTGCCTCTTCATCTACCTGGTCTCCCTCCAGTCTCGCTCATCCCTTTCTCCCACCTGTACCATAGTGAATATCACAACAATTCTCAGCTCATACCACTGCTTCATCCAAACCAAAACGTGCCATCCTCCCTGTGCGAAGAGCAGCAGACAGTTAAAGCCCTCTGCCTGCGTGCCTTACACATGGAATCAAAGCAGCCAGTGAGAGAGAGGGAGGGAGAGGGCTGCTCTTCTAGTTAAATCGGCCGACTCGAGACCCCCTCAAACCGTTTGAGGTGTAATGAGAGAAAACATTAGGAGTAAAAATGTACCCGCCCACCCCCCCCGCTCTGGCGCTCTACTCGCCAGTTCCACTTCTATTTATACATTCATTGCCTTCTCCTCTTCCCTTTAGATTATTTCTGTTTTAATAGGGACCAGTTTGTGTCATTATGGCACATAGTCAAAAAGGCTGCATTCCTCTTCTCTGCCTTGCTCTGTCCTTTCTCCTGTTCTCCCTCGCTCTCCCTCCCCATCCCCCCTCTCCTCCCTCTCTACCCCTCCCCCAGCTCTTTCCTTCTCTCTGTGCCTCTCGCTCCCTCCCTCCCTCTTGCTTGTAGGGCTGCATGCAGCGTGCCACCAATTCATGGAGGAGAGAGAGAGAGAGAGAGAGAAGCCAGAGAGAGAGAGAGAGAGAGAGAGAGAGAGGGAGACAGAAGGATGGGGGTGACTGGAAAAGAGCAAAGCCAGAGAGAGTGAGACAGACAGACGGTGAATGAGAGAACAGAGAGAGAACAAGGGAGAGGAAGGGACAGAGAGAGAGAGAAGCGCGCTCCCGCTTCAGTGTTGGGCGTTCCTCTCCAGTTCCTGCGCGGTCAAAAGTTTACAGTGGTTTTCATTTCACCTTTCCGCAGCCAATCAGAACACGGCGAAGGCTGCTGGTGAACTTTGATCCATTCCAAGAATTTGACTGTAAAGATCTGAGGCTAGCCTCTCCGTTTCTAGGGTTTTCCCTCTCCTTTTTCCACCTCTTCTCAACATATTTTTTCTTTCTGTCTTTGCATGTCCCTGATCACAAAGGACAAGAACAACAGTGTTGTTGATCTAAGACGGAGTGTGTAGCGCCTTTATTCTGATTTCATTATCCAACTGTCTCTAGATCAGTGAGAAAGAAAGAAAGAAAGAAAGAAAGAAAGAAAGAAAGAAAGAAAGAAAGAAAGAAAGAAAGAAAGAAAGAAAGAAAGAAAGAAAGAAAGAAAGAAAGAAAGAAAGAAAGAAAGAAAGAAAGAGAGGGCAGAGAGAGTGGGTCAGAAGCACAAGATCAACAACCCTTCCTCCCTCCCTCTCCTCCTCTCCTCTTCTGCCAGAACACAATACATGCATTGGTATTGACACAGCCCCCAGTCTTCATGTTCCACTTGTGGTTGTAGATCAAAAATACTATGCAGAGCAGTGAAACAGTGTGCGTGTCAGTGTGTGTGTGTGTGAGTAAGAGAGAGTGAGACAGAGAGAGGGAGTAAGAGAGAGAGAGGGCTGGGGGGGGGGGGGGGGGGGGGGGGGGGGGGGGGAAGAGTGTGCGTGGAGGGGGAAGCTGGCTGCAGTTAGATCATAGCCTCAGTTAGGGAAGGGGAAGGGCATCTTGGCAAATAGAGGGAGCACAGCAGAGCATACAGACAGCAGACTGGGAAGAGTGGGTAAAGGCTGGGGCAGAACTATGGAGCGAGATAGCTGTCAAAAGGTTGAACGTACGTATCGTTAGGATTGTAAGAAAATCCATACGTACAGTTGAAGTCGGAAGTTTACATACACTTAGGTTGGAGTCATTAAAACTCGTTTTTCAACCACTCCACAAATTTCTTGTTAACAAACTTTAGTTTTGGCAAGTCGGTTAGGACATCCACTTGTGCATGACACAAGTAATATTTCCAACAATTGTTTACAGACAGATTATTTCACTTATAATTCACTGTATCACAATTCCAGTGGGTCAGAGGTTTAAATACACTAAGTGCCTTTAAACAGCTTGGAAAATTCCAGAAAATGATGTCATGGCTTTAGAAGCTTCTGATAGGCTAACTGACATAATTTGTGGATGTATTTCAAGGCCTACCTTCAAACTCAGCACCTCTTTGCTTGACATCATGGGAAAATCAAAAGAAATCAGCCAAGACCTCAGAAAAATAATTGTAGACCTCCACAAGTCTGGTTCATCCTTGGGAGCAATTTCCAAACGCCTGAAGGTACCACGTTCATCTGTACAAACAATAGTACGCAAGTATCAACACCATGGGACCACGCAGCCGTCATACCGCTCAGGAAGGAGACGCGTTCTGTCTCCTAGAGATGAACGTACTTTGGTGCGAAAAGTGCAAATCAATCCCAGAACAACTGGCAAAAGGACCTTGTGAAGATGCTGGAGGAAACGGGTTCAAAAGTATCTATATCCACAGTAACATGAGTCCTATATATCGGCATAACCTGAAAGGCCGCTCAGCAAGGAAGAAGCCACTGCTCCAAAACCGCCATTAAAAAGCCACACTACGGTTTGCAACTGCACATGGGGACAAAGATCATACTTTTTTGAGAAATGTCCTCTGGTCTGATGAAACAAAAATAGAACTGTTTGGCCATAATGACCATCGTTATGTTTGGAGGAAAAAGTGGGGCGGCTTGCAAGCCGAAGAACACCATCCCAACCGTGAAGCACGGGGGTGGCAGCATCATGCTGTGGGGGTGCTTTGCTGCAGGAGGGACTGATGCACTTCACAAAATAGATGGCATCATGAGGAAGGAAAATTATGTGGATATATTGAAGCAACATCTCAAGACATCAGTCAGGAAGTTAAAGCTTGGTCGCAAATGGGTCTTCCAAATGTACAATGACCCCAAGCATACTTCCAAAGTTGTGGGTCCCGTGTAGCTCAGTTGGTAGAGCATGGCGCTTGCAACGCCAGGGTTGTGGGTCCGATTCCTACGGGGGGCCAATATGAAAAAAATATTATGCACTCACTAACTAAGTCGCTCTGGATAAGAGCGTCTGCTAAATTACTAAAATGTAAAAATGTGGCAAAATGGCTTAAGGACAACAAAGTCAAGGTATTGGAGTGGCCATCACAAAGCACTGACCTCAATCCTATAGAACATTTGTGGGCAGAACTGAAAAAGCGTGTGCGAGCAAGGAGGCCTACAAACCTGACTCAGTTACACCAGCTTTGTCAGGAGGAATGGGCCAAAATTCATCCAACTTATTGTGGGAAGCTTGTGGAAGGCTACCTGAAACGTTTGACCCAAGTTAAACAATTTAAAGGCAATGCTATCAAATACTAATTGAGTGTATGTAAACTTCTGACCCACTGGGAATGTGATGAAAGAAATAAAAGCTGAAATAAATCACTCTACTATTATTCTGACATTTCACATTCTTAAAATAAAGTGGTGATCCTAACTGACCTAAGACAGGGAATTTTTACTAGGATTAAATGTCAAGAATTGTGAAAAACTGAGTTTAAATGTATTTGGCTAAGGTGTATGTAAACTTCCAACTTCAACTGTAAATTGTTAGGATCATAAGAAAAGCCATGTGTGAAACATGAAATGCTCACTAAAAGGGATGTAAACAAATTTGTGCACAACATTTGAGAGAAATAAGGTTTTTGTGCGTAACGGAACATTTCTGGGATCTTTTATTTCAGCTCATGAAACATGTTGCGTTTATATTTTTGTTATATTTGTTTATCTAATCCAAAATCTAGCTAGCTAGCTAGCTTTCATAATACGCTGGCTACACATTCCAAAGCATATCAATGTAATTAGCCAGCTGCTATCTGGGGATATGATTTGGTTACACATCCTCATGATCTTTCTTCATGTCTTTCCAGGAGACGTGCAGTACAAACAACTCTTCTGCAAGAGGTCGAAGCAGTGGGTGGTGAAGAAAGTGTACGAGAGCCTTTTCCTCCTGGCTGTGGAGTGCAGAAAGGACCAGACGGTTATTCTACAAAGAGCCAGAGTCACAGTAGGCTATGTGTGCTGTTTTTTTATTTATGTAGTTCTGTCCTTGAGCTGTTCTTGTCTATTAATGTTCTGTATTATGTCATGTTTCATGTTTTGTGTGGACCCCAGAAAGAGTAGCTGCTGCTTTCGCAACAGCTAATGGGGATCTTAATAAAATACCAAACCCAACATCCCTGCCAACATCGCCACAGCGCCAAAGCCAGCTAAACCAGCTGCCATTACCCAACACAAGAAGAGGTTCACCAGCTGAAGAACATTCTGGAACCTGCCTGGAACATTCAACCAACACAACATCCATATTCAGTTAGACTGATGTTGTAGTATATTATACAACGGGTGGGTCTAATCCTGAATGCTGATTGGTTAAAACCGCATTCCATCCTGTGTCTATTCCACAACTTACCACTGGCTAAATCTATGACGTTAAAATGCCTATTTACTCTGTTCCATCTGACTACGCAATCCACTGTCTCATCAGCCCAGCCAGGCAATTTATAAACTTCATCTCCACTATAAAAAGCATCTAGACATTATCTTACATTTCTTTTAGACTAACATTTAGTTTTCAACAGCGGAGATTTGTATAAACCTTGCTGTCTGTCTCTCTGACATTTGCAACATTATTTCAATATTCAAATTCGATCTCCAGCTGTCCCATAGTAATGAAACGTGTCGGGAGTCGGAACGAGACTGACAGGCAGGCAGCATTTCTCAGCCAGTTGAAATCATGAATCAGCTGACATCATTTTTATGGATATATACAAAGAAATGCCAATTTAAAAAAGGTAAAACTAAACGAAGTGCAGCTAGTTTGCAGTCTTTCCAGCTTCAGTTTGAAGCGATTGTGTTAGCTGTGTTGTTGGCTAGCTCCTCTGAACAACAGTGTCCTGACGAGTGAGCACATGTTCTATGCTAGGCGAAATCGCGCCTCATTAGCTCATTGTTATGGATGTATCCAAATAAACGTCACTAGAAAACAACTTAAACAAATACTACTTTTTGACATGACTGTAAGTTAGCCGTAGTTGGCTAGCTAGCAAACAAGGGATAAGAATGTTGCCAGCCAGTATGGCAATGGAACATTTAGAACGAACGAGTGGGTCGTGTCTCTGGCAACCGAACCGATAGAACGAATGACGAGCCGGCTTGGGTAGCAACCCTAGATGTGTTGGGACTATATTTTATGGAAGGATGAAATAGTATGAATAAATTCATCAAAATAACATTTTATATGAAAATATGTCAATCATTATTTGAATATGTTCGTAACCCGTTGTATAAAAGTGATAATGCCCACGAAGCCGGTGTTTGGAGGATATATTGGCACGGTTTGCCGGCCCTCGACTTAGTCTCGGGTCTAACAACACCCGTGCCAATATATCCTCCAAACACCGGCTTCTCAGGCATTATCACTTAAATATAGAATGCCTAGTATGCTCACAACGGCATTGTGGTATAGATATTGCTAGCTGTTGTACATGCTGTATGTATATAACTGTGTTTTATATAAGCTGTACTGACAATTGACTAAATTATTTCAGCTGCATCAGAAACCAATAAAGTGTTCACTTCAACTTATTGATCAATACATATTGAAATGTAATACAATTTATTTGGATAAACTAGCTTCAGTCTTCCTGCTAAAACAAATGATGCAGGGAGTTGGTTTATCGTTTAAACATGAATTTGTTGGAAAGTAAACATGATTTAATAAAACAGTAGATTAGTCCTGTCAATATAGCAAATAAGTAGACATGGCTTGTATTCAATACAGTTTACTTGCTCTGGAGACCGAGGTGAGTTTACACAGCAATCTGCAGGAACAGTTATGGCAATGTATGACATATATACAGTAGAATAACAATATACTACTACCGCTTATAATAAATAATACAGTTCTACAAAGGGAATACTTGCATATGGTGTGTTTGGGTGGTGCAGTGAGGTGTTCGGAGTCACTTTGATACAAGGGGAGATTGTTGTTATGGGACCTTTCACATCTCTACTTGAGAGTCATTATTGTCTGTGAGAGAAAGACGAAAACGCTATTACACATTCATGGGCAATCGTTGTGAACTGTCTGTATTCCTACTGTAGCAGCATGGAGTAGAATATGTGACATCTCACAGACACACGTCAGCTAGCTAGCTACAACACACAGGTGTAGTTACTCCAAGACTAATATAAGTCATCAAGCCAAAGTCATTCCTTTATTATTCACCCTCATCATCAAAACATTTCTCCAGTTTTGCTCCTAATGAGAGGCACTGAGGCTAGCTAGGCTAGTTATCTAGCTAGAGATAATATTAGACTACAGTACATTTTAGGTATAGCAAACACAGCTAGCTAGTTAGCTAGCTAAACTTGGCTAGCTTGGTTTGTAGTGGTACTAGCAAGCCCTGTTATGGCTGAATCGATCACCAATTGGTATTGTACTGAACAACACTGCCTCGTGTAAAAAGAGAGCTCATGCTGAGTGTACAAAACATTAAGAACACCTTCCTAATATCAAGTTCCTCTGTGTCCACATCACTAAGGAATTATCTTGGTCCACACACACCAACACAGTCGTGAAGAGGGCACGACAATGCTCTTTCCCCTCAGGAGGCTGAAAAATGTAGCAGGTTCCCTCAGATCCTTAAAAAGTTACACAGCTGCACCATTAACAGCATCTTGACTGGCTGTATCACTGCTTGGTATGGTAACTGCTTAGCATCCGACCGAAAGGAGCTACAGAGGATAGTGCGTACAACCCAGTACATCACTGGGGCCGAGCTCTCTACCATCCAGGACCTCTATACCAGGCGGTGTCAGAGGAAGGCCCTAAAAATTCTCCAGACTCCAGCCACCCAAGTCATAGACTGTGCTCTCTGCTACCACACGGCAAGTGGTACTGATGCACCAAGTCTGGAACAAACAGGACCCTGAACAGCTTCTAACCCCAAGCCATAAGACTGATAAATAGCTACCCAGACTATTTGCTGTTACTGTTTATTATCTATCCTGTTGCCTAGTCACTTTATCCCTACCTATATGTACATACAGTGCATTCTGAAGGTATTCAGACCCCTTTGACTTTTTCCACATTTTGTTACATTACAGCCTCATTCTAAAATGGTTTAAATGTTGTTGTTGTTTTTTTTTGGGGGGGGGGGGGGGGGGTTCACACAATACCCAATAATGACAAAGCAAAAACTGGTTTTTGGAAATTGTTGCAAATTCATACAAAAATTACAACTGAAATATCACATTTACATAAGTATTCAGACCCTTTACTCAGTACTTTGTTGAAGGACCTTTGGCAGCGCTTACAGCCTCGAGTCTTCTTGGGTATGACGCTACAAGCTTGGCACACCTATATTTGGGGAGTTTCTCCCATTCTTCTCTGCAGATCCTCTCAAGCTGTCAGGTTGGATGGGGAGCGTCACTGCACAGCTATTTTCAGGTCTTTCCAGAGACGTTCGATCAGATTCTAGTCTGGGCTCTGGCTGGGCCACTCAAGGACATTCAGAGACTTGTCCTGAAGCAACTCCTACATTGTCTTGGCTGTGTGCTTAGGGTGGTTGTCCTGTTGGAAGGTGAACCTTTGCCCCAGTCTGAGGTCCTGAGAGCGCTGGAGCAGGTTTTCATCAAGGATCTCTCTGTACTTTGTTCCGTTCATCTTTCCCTCGATCCTGACTAGTCTCCCAGTCCCTGCTGCTGAAAAACATCCCCACAGCATGGTGCTGCCACCACCATGCTTCACCATAGGGATGGTGCCTGGTTTCCTCCAGACGTGACGCTTGGCATTCAGGCCAAAGAGTTAAATCTTGGTTTCATCAGACCAGAGAATCTTGTTTCTCATGGTCAGAGTCCTTTAGGTGCAAGCGGGCTGTCATGTGCCTTTTACTGAGGAGTGGCTTCTGTCTGGCCACTGTACCATAAAGGCCTGATTGGTGGAGTGCTGCAGAGATGGTTGTCCTTCTGGAAGGTTCTCCCATCTCCACCGAGGAACTATGGAGCTCTGTCAAAGTGACCAACGGGTTCTTGGTCACCTCCCTGAACAAGGCCCTTCTCCTCAGATTGCTCAGTTTGGCCGGGCGGCCAGCTCTAGGAAGAGTTTTGGTGGTTCCAAACTTCTTCGATTTAAGAATGATGGAGGCCACTGTGTTCTTGGGGACCTTCAATGCTGCATAATTTTTTTGGTACCCTTCCCCAGATCTGTGCCTCGACACGATCCTGTCTCTGAGCTCTACGGACAATTCCTTCGACCTCATGGCTTGGTTTTTGCTCTGACATGCACTGTCAACTGTGGGACCTTATATAGACAGGTGTGTGCCTTTCCAAATCATGTCCAATCAATTGAATTTACCACAGGTGGACTCCAATCAAGTTGTAGAAACATCTGAAGGATGATCAATGGAAACAGGATACACCAGAGCTCAATTTCGAGTCTCATAGCAAAGGGTCTGAATACTTATGTAAATAAGGTATTTCAGTTTTCAGTTTTTAATAAATTTGCAAAAATGTCTAAAAACCTGTTTTCGCTTTGTCATTATGGGGTATTGTGTGTAGATTGATGAGGAAAAAATTTAATTTAATCAATTTTAGAATAAGGCTGTAACGTAACAAAATGTGGAAAAGGGGAAGGGGTCTGAATACTTTCCGAATGCACTGTATCTATCTCAATTACCTCATACCCCTGCACATCAACTCGGTACTGGTACCCCGTGTATACAGCAATGTTATCGTCACTCATTGTGTATTTATTCCTTGTGTCATTATTTTTCTATTATTTATCATTTTTTCTCTTTGCATTTTTGGGAAGTAAGCATTTCCCATTGAAGGCGTCCACATGCTTTCCAGCTGAAACATTTAGGATGAGTTTGTGCATATATTATGATGACAGTTTGTGAGGTTTTTATTTGTTTTGGACTTCTGCTAGCTTTTTTTGGGCTGTTCTGGCACACAAAAACATTTCTAGAGGCAAGCCGAAGTTCGGAGCCAAAGTCTACGCCCCTTCGTCGGTGATTGGTCAACAGTAGGGATTCTTCAATAGTCTTTGTTGTCATTCAGCAAGATAAGACTCTTTTTCATGCACATTTTTTCATTGAGAAATACTGCACCAAACATCTTAGTCAGATGTAAAATAAATCTCCTTGAGTTATTTTAGATTAATTCAGACTATTTTGACGAAGCGTATACTGGCTACAGCGTCTCAAAATGGACAAACAGTACTATTGCCGCTTTTTTATTGTATTTCAAGTTAAGGTCTTTTAAGGGAGTGTTCGAGCACACTCGTTCCGAACTGAAGCATGCGGACGCCTTTAGTCTACACCTGTTGTTTACGAATAACATTTGATTTCATATGTGTGCCATGTAATTGCTCTCTCTCTCGCTCTAATGTGTGTGCATGATGTACCTCTTGCTAGCTGTCACATATGGTGAGGGGCTGAAGCTCAATGGTTGAACTCAAATTGCTAGGGGGCTGGCCCATGTGGGGGAAGATGTAGGGAAGATGGCGTTGCACAGCTTACAGAAAACAGTTACTTTTAAACTAAGGAATTTGTGGCTAATTGAGGTAAGACCGCAATTCTGCTCATAGATTATGCATGTATGAACTACACATTGAAACATCCAGCCCAGCGGGAGGTTTAAAAAATACTTAGTAGTCACCCAAAGTTTGGGAGCGTGTGTTTTAGGTGGTGGCTCTGCGCATCCCCCTTTTTCACTCCCAGTCCCTCTTTCTTTTTCGCTCTCTTTTTCCCCATTACAGGATAGCCTTTGCCCTACGCTGGGGTCAAGCAGAGTATCTGTGGTTTGTTTTTGTGCCAGTGTCGAGTTTAGAAGAGAAGGAAGGAGGGAGGTGGGGTGAAGGTGTTGTCAGTCCGAGCATATACAAATGAAAGTTTGTAAAGGTGTGTGTGTGTGTGTGTGTGTGTGTGTGTTGACATCACTACTCGCCCTACAAACCCACACTAACTCAAAGTCCCTTGACCAGTGTGTTGCCAGTCTGGAAAGAAAGTAATGAGAAACACTTACACATGCACATAGAAAAGGATGACGTACTGAACCCCACAAACATACCCAGAATGACAAACAAAAAAAGTTGTGCTTTTGAACAGGTCTTTGATCTTGAATATGAACACGTAATATCGCCAAACATTCAAGCGTGCAAATACACACACACACACACACACACACACACACACACACACACAACCACACACACAGCACTTCAAAATCTGAAAGCTTCATTGAAAGACATGCCTGAGCAGCCCCACCTCTAGCTGCCAAAATAAAGGGGTGCTTGGCACCTTGCTACCCTGAGGGAGGGAGCGAGAGGGGCTAGAATTACCTCTCAGCTAGGGTTACATGCTAAATGGCCTGTTTGAAAAACACTTTAATTTTAACAATGTCAACTGCATCACTGATTCTTCCTGTCCCTTCTAACTTCAGACCCAAAGCCCTTCCCTACTCCTATAGCCCTAAAACCAATGGCTCCTTCTCTACTTTCCTTCCTTCCATCCCTCCTTCCCTCCCTCCCTCCCTCTCCATTCCCTCCTCCCTCTCTCCCTCCCTCTCTATTCCCTCCTCCCTCTCTCCTCCAAGCAAAGCAGATTAAAGCACAGAGAGTTACTTGTGGAAAATGAGCACCATGGTGTCCCTCACCCTGTGGCCAGCGCCTTGGCTTTGTTCTGTCAGCGACAAGACACCCTGAACACACACACACACACAGAAACTTTTACTCCAACAAGTAGTGCTTGATGTGAGGTTTGCGGGGCTCTGGGCTGTGATATCCCTGTGCAGCGTAACCATGACAGGACAAAGGCCAAAATCAGACCAGCCATAAATTAGGGGTAGAGAAACAAGGTCAAATCCATTTACAAAGATGGAAGGGGTCAACGACGACACATACAGACCAGTGTATCAACAGGTATGGGGAAAACACACATGGGCAATTCCACAATAACAGAATGATGCTTAGACTCAGATTTATGACTTTAAAATGTATGCCAGACAAAAAACAATGAATGCAAAGTTAAACAAACCATACAACTCTATGCACAAGGACGACTTTTAACAATTTCCACTGAAAGTTTTACTAAAACACATTTACTTGAAGAACAGTGCAGATGCAAAGTTTGGTAACAGAATGACTGTTTGTGCTTTCTGTTACCAAACATCTGCACTGTTCTTCAAGTAAATGTGTTTTAGTAAAACTTTCAGTGAAAATTGTTAAAGGTCGACTTGGGCACAAAGAATGGTCCACCTCCGCCTCTTTTTAAATTTTCTAACAGAAAGGGGGTGTGCCTTTGGCTGTTCATCGATGTGTCATTCTGGTCATTACGTAGCTAGTTCGTTAGCTAAGCTAGCCACTGTAGCTAGCCAGTAACATTTTACATTTACATTTTAGTCATTTAGCAGACGCTCTTATCCAGAGCGACTTACAGTTAGTGAGTGCATACATTATACTTTTTTTTTTTTCATACTGGCCCCCCGTGGAAATTGAACCCACAACCCTGGCGTTGCAAACGCCATGCTCTACCAACTGAGCTACATCCCTGCCGGCCATTCCCTCCCCTACCCTGGACGACGCAGGGCCAATTATGCACCGCCCCAGTAACTCTTCGGGTATGTGTTGATGTCATATCACATAATTCGTTTTTGGACAGAAGCTCAAGAGATTGGTAAGAAATGGCACATCTGTAGCCAAATATCTTATTCATCCATTTTTGCTGTTATTTTGCATTTTTGTCAAACTTTAAAAGTAGTCCTTGTGCATAGAGTTGTATGGTTTGTTTAACTTTGCAATCATAGTTTTTTTGTTTGACATCCATTCTAAAGTAACAAATCTGAGTCTCAGCATCCTTCTGTTATCATGGAATTGCCCACATTTCTATTCAATAAACATCTGTGCCAGGGTTTCCCTTAGCCGTTAATAGGCGGCTTTTGCCCCCCCCATTTTTTTTTTTTTTTACCCAATAAATAAAATTAGCGCCGGTCAATTGTCCGGGAGGGAAAAAAATCCCATTGCGAAATAATGGATTTTAGCCTATTCATTGATTGAAATACCAGTTGATGTAGTGCGAGAGCTGCTGATACAGCTCAAACAGCTGTTTGTTGCTGCTGGAGTGAAACATGTGCTTTAATATTCCCAATCATTGCACAACAATTCTTAAGGCAATCGCGTGTAAAGAACAATGGCCACGATTAAAAATAGCTACTATTTTTATTTCTCAACTTGTAATTGAAGCGTGCTTCCCATTCGCCATTCAAGTGCATAGGCAACTAGGCAGGCTTCAGCACGTCACACACCATTTGCAATGAGCTGGAGGCAGTAGGCATTTTCAAAACATATACTTAATTGTTTGAAACCTGAACGTTTTACTACATATTATGAGGCATGTCTTACCTTGCTTCAAATTAGCTTAACCAAAACCCAACCAAACGTGCAGCCAATTATTTTATAAAGACTGCCATTTGAAACCTTTTTCTCTCATGTTCTATTGGTTTTTAAATCAACTTTCTTTCATTGTCCAGTAGCCAATGGCACAATCCTAGTCATATTAGCAACTCATGCTAGTAGTTGCATATTTAGATCTCCCCTCTTTCTACATTTCTAACGTATATTTTCATCTTTGTCACAAGCAGGTTGGTTTACTTGTTTAGCATAAGGCAGGAGAGCACAGAGGATGATATTACTTCCTGGACATCAGGTCCACAGTCAGGCAGGCTACACAGGAACACACACCAACACAGAGACACACAAACTCCCAAGATGATTGTTTTATGCAGCCTATTTCTACAGTCAGAGCATTAGCAGTCCAAAGAGGACAGTACATTGAGCAGCAGATCTCTGTGGCCAAGCAGAGCTATCCATTGGCTGGAAGGCCCAGGTTTAAGGCTGAACACCAGTGACCAGAACTAAAGGTCAGGTGAATTATAGATGAGTTCTGTTCTTTTCTGTGGACCTCTGGTCCTCTTCCCTCCCCTCCCCCCTCTGTACTCTCTCTGTTCCTTCTCCCTCTCTGATCTCTCCTCTCGCTCCCTTTTCTTGCTTCTACTCTCTCTCTGCCCTCAGCTCTCATGCGCTCTCGATCCCTCTGCTCTCTCCTTTTCACCTCTGTCTTCTCTCGATCCTCTGTCCTCCCCCTCTCTCGCTCTTCATACCTCTCCCTTCTCACTTTGTTTCACCATCCTTGTCTCTTTATCCCCCATCTCACATCTCCATCTCTCTCTCTCAGACCAGTGAAGAGATGGAGTTATTTTTAGCCCAGTGTGAGAGAGAGGGAGTGAGATCGTGCTGGGCTAGCACATACTCTCCATAAGGGATTTCTGGAGACCTGTCACAGAAGTGTGAGTGACAAATGGTTTATTTTCCTGCTAACATAAGTGTTTGTGTGATTGTGTATGTTTATGTGTGATTATGTGTGTTTGTGTGATTGTGTGTGTTTATGTGTTTTTGTGAGTGTGTGTGAGAGTCAGTAGTAGCAGTAGAAGTGACGTGGTTCTTTCTTTATGTCCCTATCCCTCTCTCCCTGTCTCCCTCTATCCCCCTCTATCCTCTATCCCCCTCTCCCCTGTATCCCTCTCTCCCCTTTATCCCCCTCTCCCCTCTCTCCCCTTTATCCCTCTCTCCCCTCTCTCCCCTTTATCCCCCTCTCCCCTTTATCCCCCTCTCTCCCTTTATCCCCCTCTATCCCCCCCCTCCCTTTATCCCTCTCTCCCCCTTATACCCCCTCTCCCCTCTCTCCCTCTAATCCCCCCTCTCCACTTTATCCCCTCTCTCCCCCTTTATCCCCTCTCTCCCCGTTAATATCCCTTACCCTCCCCTTTAATACCCCCTCTCCCCTCTCTCCCCTTTATCCCCCCTCCTCTTTATCCTCTCTCCCCTTTATCCCCCTCTCTCCCCCTTATCATCCCCTCTCTCCCCCCTCACCCCCCTCTCCCATCTCTCTCCCTCTCTCATCCCCCTTATCCCTCTCTCCCCTGTATCCCTCTCTCCCCTCTATCCCTCTCTCTCTCTCTCCCTCTCTCCCTCTCTCCCCTCTATCCCTCTCTCCCCTCTATCCCTCTTCCCTTCTCTCCCCCTCTATCCCTCTCTCCCTCTCTTCCCCTCTCTCCCTCTCTTCCCCTCTCTCCCTCTCTCCCTGTCTTTCCCCTCTCTCCCTCTATCCCTCTCTTTCCCCTCTATCCCTCTCTTTCCCCTCTCTCCCCTCTCTCCCCTTTCTCCCTCTCTCCCCTCTATTCCCCCTCTCATGTAGCTGCATGCTCTTGTGGAAGGCAAGTCAGCATTCTCCACAGCCCATTTCACCTGGGCCACCCTGCCTTCACCAAGCCCGCCAGCCAGTGCTGTGACAGTTGAGAGGCAGGTTGGTTTACTTGGTTAGCATAGTGTTAGAAGCCTGAGAGGCAGGTTGGGTTACTTGTTTAGCATAAGGCAGGAGAGCATTGAGGATGATATTACTTCCTGGACATCAGGTCCACAGTCAGGCAGGCTACACAGGAACACACACCAACACGGAGACACAGACTCCCAAGACGTCTTGGATAGGTGCCATTCCACTGTAACAGAATGACACAGACTGATTTTTCACTTTAAAATACTGCTGAGTGATTAAATGATTATTATACTTTTTTTGGTTATTAAACAACTAATTGACCAACGTCGGTTCAATTACTTGAATTCCATGTAGTTATTTTTTTTTGGTGAGCTCAACGCGCCGTTTCTCTAGATATAAATAAAATCATTCACGAGAGAAATTAAGTCAAGAACTATGTGGGACGCTGGGCTGTAGTAGTTGTAGTTTTCATTAGGCAAATATTCAACCTAGTTCAGCGCAGAAACGTGGAAATTAACTACAATGACCATAATCCATTCCACCTGTACTTTCCGGCAAATGAGACCGCATGAGAAAGGAATGACAACACAACGACGAGAGGGATAGCGACAGTTCGTGAGGTAGCTCTACCCGATTGATAGTTAAAGTAGTTCGTAATAAGCAGTCTTGAAAGCATGCCGTATCTACTTTGAAGAGCTAGTAAAATGATTTATTTAGCCAGCTAGCTACTACTAGCCTAGCTAAACAGGATGACTCGTTCAATAGGAAGCACAGAGATAACTTCAGATGGTTGTCTGCTACTGCCTGAGCAGAGATGAAATGATGACTTTAAGGAATGAAAAATAAAGTTATCAAATACAATCTAAGTAATTTTACATAACTGAAATATTTTGTTCAAGTAAAGTAAGTAATGTGAATAAATGATGGTTAATAAGTGATAAGCAGTAATGGGCGGTCACTACCATCATGGGGCTCTTATTGTTTTATTCTGTGTTACAGCATTCAACATACAGTGGGGAAAAAAAGTATTTAGTCAGCCACCAATTGTGCAAGTTCTCCCACTTAAAAATATGAGAGAGGCCTGTAATTTTCATCATAGGTACACGTCAACTATGACAGACAAAATGTGAGAAAAAAAATCCAGAAAATCACATTGTAGGATTTTTAATGTATTTATTTGCAAATTATGGTGGAAAATAAGTATTTGGTCAATAACAAAAGTTTCTCAATACTTTGTTATATACCCTTTGTTGGCAATGACACAGGTCAAACGTTTTCTGTAAGTCTTCACAAGGTTTTCACACACTGTTGCTGGTATTTTGGCCCATTCCTCCATGCAGATCTCCTCTAGAGCAGTGATGTTTTGGGGCTGTCGCTGGGCAACACAGACTTTCAACTCCCTCCAAAGATGTTCTATGGGGTTGAGATCTGGAGACTGGCTAGGCCACTCCAGGACCTTGAAATGCTTCTTACGAAGCCACTCCTTCGTTGCCCGGGCGGTGTGTTTGGGATCATTGTCATGCTGAAAGACCGAGCCACGTTCCATCTTCATTGCCCTTGCTGATGGAAGGAGGTTTTCACTCAAAATCTCACGATACATGGCCCCATTCATTCTTTCCTTTACACGGATCAGTCGTCCTGGTCCCTTTGCAGAAAAACAGCCCCAAAGCATGATGTTTCCACCCCCATGCTTCACAGTAGGTATGGTGTTCTTTGGATGCAACTCAGCATTCTTTGTCCTCCAAACACGACGAGTTGAGTTTTTACCAAAAAGTTATATTTTGGTTTCATCTGACCATATGACATTCTCCCAATCCTCTTCTGGATCATCCAAATGCACTCTAGCAATCTTCAGACGGGCCTGGACATGTACTGGCTTAAGCAGGGGGACACATCTGGCACTGCAGAATTTGAGTCCCTGGCGGCGTAGTGTGTTACTGATGGTAGGCTTTGTTACTTTGGTCCCAGCTCTCTGCAGGTCATTCACTAGGTCCCCCCGTGTGGTTCTGGGATTTTTGCTCACCGTTCTTGTGATCATTTTGACCCCACGGGGTGAGATCTTGCGTGGAGCCCCAGATCGAGGGAGATTATCAGTGGTCTTGTATGTCTTCCATTTCCTAATAATTGCTCCCACAGTTGATTTCTTCAAACCAAGCTGCTTACCTGTTGCAGATTCAGTCTTCCCAGCCTGGTGCAGGTCTACAATTTTGTTTCTGGTGTCCTTTGACAGCTCTTTGGTCTTGGCGATAGTGGAGTTTGGAGTGTGACTGTTTGAGGTTGTGGACAGGTGTCTTTTATACTGATAACAAGTTCAAACAGGTGCCATTAATACAGGTAACGAGTGGAGGACAGAGGAGCCTCTTAAAGAAGAAGTTACAGGTCTGTGAGAGCCAGAAATCTTGCTTGTTTGTAGGTGACCAAATACTTATTTTCCACCATAATTTGCAAATAAATTCATAAAAAATCCTACAATGTGATTTTCTGGATTTTTTTCTCCTCAATTTGTCTGTCATAGTTGACGTGTACCTATGATGAAAATTACAGGCCTCTCTCATATTTTTAAGTGGGAGAACTTGCACAATTGGTGGCTGACTAAATACTTTTTTTCCCCACTGTATAATAATACTTTTAGCAAAAATGTTTATTTTCAATTTACAATCTGTAGAAACAATGAGAATAGAAAGGTTCAGAACTTTTGTTAAACATCACAGCACAGTTGAAAAATATATGTCAAATATAAATCCAATATGGATGGTGTTAAGAGATAGATGGGAGGGGTTGAATGGAGCTGAAGGTTGGGACAAATAACAACAAGATAACTAATGTAAAGAATACTGTGTCTGTAAAAAGTATATAGGTTATAGGTTAAGAACTTTTGCGAAAGAGCACAGTTTGAAAGATATGGCAAATTGAAATCAAACTGGATGGACATCATAAATAGATGGGAGAGGCTGAGGGTAGAGGAAGGACAGGAGTAAAAACAAACAAAATAGAACTACTGCAAAATAGACTGTGTCCATAAAATGTATATAGTATGTACAAGATGGAAGTAGAGGCGTAAGCGTTGTTGTTCACTAGTTTACTCCAATTAGGGGAGGGGTGGTAGGGTTAGAAACTAATAAAGGACAATATATGAAAAATTAAATAAAGGATATGTCTATATGGTGAGGGAAAAAAGTATTTGATCCCCTGCTGATTTTGTACGTTTGCCCACTGACAAAGAAATGATCAGTCTATAATTTTTATGGTAGGTTTATTTGAACAGTGAAAGACAGAATAACAACAAAATCCAGAAATACGCATGTCAAAAATGTTATAAATTGATTTGCATTTTAATGAGGGAAATAAGTATTTGACCCCCTCTCAATCAGAAAGATTTCTGGCTCCCAGGTGTCTTTTATACAGGTAACGAGCTGAGACTAGGAGCACACTCTTAAAGGGAGTGCTCCTAATCTCAGCTTGTTACCTGTATAAAAGACACCTGTCCACAGAAGCAATCAATCAATCAGATTCCAAACTCTCCACCATGGCCAAGACCAAAGAGCTCTCCAAGGATTTCAGGGACAAGATTGTAGACCTACACAAGGCTGGAATGGGCTACAAGACCATCGCCAAGCAGCATGGTGAGAAGGTGACAACAGTTGGTGCGATTATTCGCAAATGGAAGAAACACAAAATAACTGTCAATCTCCCTCGGGCCTGGGGCTCCATGCAAGATCTCACCTCGTGGAGTTGCAATGATCATGAGAACGGTGAGGAATCAGCCCAGAACTACACGGGAGGATCTTGTCAATGATCTCAAGGCAGCTGGGACCATAGTCACCAA